ATGAAACGTCACATTTTTCACAAATACTTAATTCTACCTTTTGAAGTGGTGGGAGTTAGGGTCACATTTGTAATCCCTTGTAGAAAAACTGATAGGGAATAGTTGGATACTAGAAAATATTCCATCAAATACAAGGCATATTCCCAGCTCGGGTCCAAATCCCTGACTGTTCAACGCTTTGGGACGTCCTCCCGACGTGAAAGACACTATTCAAATGTAATTTTGTATTGTATACTTCCTTCCTGACATATGATTTTGCAACATTATGGAGGGGTTAACATTAGTTAAGCCTTATCTCTTAGTGGAGTTTTCAATTCAAAGCATGTATCAAAGATTCATTTCATATAACCAATGGAGGAGAAACCCCCAAAGAACCGAGTTAGCAGGGCCCATTGCATTTGTGTTCCTGTTACAAGTAGATGTAGTGAAAAGTATAACCAATTAAACAGAATCAACTACACTTTTTCAAGCACTTTCAATATGAACATTAAGCACATCAAATAGCAACACCATCTTTGATTCTTCGGTGTGGAACATTCATACAAAATGAGAGGTAACATGTATTAACATATTGATGCTGTTATAAACCACTGTTGAGTCCTGCCTTTCATCTATCGATATCATGGTATAAATAACTTACCAGGAATGACATGTGCAGTCACAGATGGAGGCAGCCAATCTAATGCTGGAAAATACGCCCTGAATACAAACTAGTCCCATTTCATCAATTTCACCTTTGGTAATGTAGTGTCAATAATAATAATACTAATATAATAATAATAATCCTTGCATTTGATATAGCACTTTTCACATGTTCTAGATGTCTCAAAGCTCTTCACAGAATATACTGTAAAGTAATTGACTGTATATTTGTGGGCGAATTGCAGCAGCAAAATTGCACACAGCAGTGTCCTACAAACAGTTGTGGATTGAAGTGACCGATTTATTATTTTTTTTCTTGAGGGATTATTATTAGGCGTGTGGAGTAAAGAAACTTGCCCAAGGTTTCACCCTGCCGGGAATCGAACCCAGGTCTCTTGCTTGAGAGGCGAATGCTCTAACCACTGAGCTACAGGCCTCCACAAGCATCAAGTTATATTATCTGGTGTGGTAGTGTGCATTTTCTTGTTGTAGATAAACAACAACAGCAACTTGGATTTATATAGCGCCCTCCATGCCGGACGGTGTCTCAGAGCGCTTCACAGTAAGCACATTAAGAACAAATCAAACAAGAATCTACTATTGGGGAAACCAATATCACAATATATTTGGTGCCTTTATTTGCTATCCTGTGAATGCAGAGCTGGAATGTGATTGATGATACTAGTCAGGAGAGTATGTTTACAATTGAGTGACCTAACTGTACAGAGCTGTCCACATCAAATTATTTACATTGATCAGTGCCTCTAACAAGCTTCTGTTTAAAATTTGTGATTTTGTATCTTTCTAAGATAAATAGAACCATAGACATTCACTACAACAACAACTACTTGCATTTATATAGCACCCTTCATGCGGGATAGAATCCCAGAATGTTGCATTTACAGTGCAGATGGAGGCCATTTCACCCGTTGAATCTGCACTGAGTCTCAGAGGAAGTTTTTCTTTCAATCCCACTGCCTATTCTATCCCCTTAACCTTTCATGCCTTACAATCAGTATTACTTTAAAGAAAAGGGTGTAGGCATTATCTGTATATCCAATATCAGAAGAGAGTTGATTATCAATAGGTTGGCGACTAGAAAATAATTTCCTGTAAAGTCACATATTCTAATATTGCAATTACATTTTATTTAAATAATCAGTATGTTGTATGTTATTGAAAAAAAATGGCCATGATCTGATCTGCTCTTGCACAGTAAACAGCACAAAGCATCTACTCAAAAAATTGTGTTTCTAGTGCATCAAAGCCCTCAACAATTGGCCCGCGTTTCAGATTAACTATCTGTCTGGCATTCCAGCATAGTGTATCCATGTATCCAGAATAATGCCTTTGGGTTTATTTATAAGCAGGAAGTACAAAGTTTAAAAGCACATCATTAAACTAGTAATTCACACAAGAATCATTATAGAGAGCTACATTTTCAAGAGACAAGCCTTTCCACAGTATTGTAAAGAGCATTATTTAAAAATCTGTGTAAGTGCCCAGTTTAAAATCAAACCTTCAAAGTTAATTATAGGGATGCTGGCAACATCAATATTGCAGATGCAGGAGAACAATCAAGGTGTCAAGGTAATATTCAAATATTATTGGTAATGATGTGTAGAATGTTATAGTAAATCCATACCGTTGAGGCTGAGGTTATCAAAGTAGGAAAAGAGATAAACCCATGTTTATTATGTAGCAAGAGCAACGAATGATTTTTACTTGCCCATTAGATGCAATGAATATTTGGGAGTTTATTCCTGAAAATAAATGCATGAGCTTCGTATCTTTAAATGGCACTTGAACTTGTTGAATGTGCAGTGTTTTGGGAATATTATATTCAACCATATCGAGGCTAATAATCTTTTTTTTACACTAAGTATAAAGACAACACTTTTACTTTAATTATCTTCCCAAAATACTTAGATTTGATTGTAATTTTGAATATCAGTGGGTGCATATAAAGGTTTATATGGAGGTTTGTAATGTCGTGGAAGTGATTTTAAGGGACAGAATTGCCCCTTAGATTGCCTTTTGAGCATAATGAATCGAGATGATGTTCATAGCATACCAATGGGCAGTACACAAATAAAGCAAATTGTGTTTTTATTGAGCAGCATTTTTATATTAAATAAAATACTGCTTATAATCAAGCAAAATAATCCTATTGTTCTACATGAGCACTTTCCCAATATATTTTGCAGTTACTGGTAATCTTCATTTTATCAAGTCTTTTGTGGTCAGAAATGGGGAATAGTAATAACAATCATCCTTGCATTTGGTATAGCGCCTTATCATGTTGTTGAGACGTCTCAAAGCACTTCACAGAAATATTGTGCAGTGGATTGACTGGTTTTGTTTGTGGGCCAAATTTACTATAGGTGTATTGAACCTTGGTATTCTGATGGTACTTCGCTGTCTGCATATTTTGTGTGTTGTGGTAACCTGAAGGATACATCATGGGGCAAGGGTTCAAGGCACCAGAAACAGAATGTTGTGAATGACATATTCAAGGCGAACACTAAAAATTACATTTTACTGCTGTGCTTTTTTGCTCTGGGAGTTAATCTGTGACACAGGTGATGTTACATTTCAAAATAAGCATAGCAGCCTAGTGACTATAGTTTCTTTTACTGGTTTTGAACATTTCTGACTAATAACAGTAAAGATGAAAAGATAGTATTACAGTAAAAGGTTAAAGAATTATACACTAAAAAGATCATCATTCACATTCTTCCAACCAGAAGTGATATTAAGCACAGACACTTGGGAGATACCTGAGGGAAAGTGGAGTGTAAATGAAGCAATACTTATACAATAGTTCAGGCAGTGCTGTGATCCATTTTACTAAGGAGGGTTTAGCACTTAGGTAAACTAATAGAAAAGGAGGGACTTGTGAGTTTGTCATACTGTCAATAAGTACCTTAGATGATGTCATTTCATGCCTTAAATATTTTAGCTGAACCTCAAAGATGTGTTTGTGTCTTTTATTCCCTCCTGCCTTGTTTATCTTACGTATGCTTCCATTTATTATTTATCCACACTGTAAACTCCAGGTTGCTTAATGTTATTCAGAAATGTCTCAGATATTTCTGAAGTGACTTCAGCGAGTGCATATTATGACATATTAACATAAGAAAGTGCATGAGAGTTAATACAAGATGATTGGAAAGGCACTCCAAGGTTATTGTTTGCAACAAGAGATTCCATAATTGTGCTACCTTATTTGCATAATAGAAATAATGATGGGTTATCTGGAATCAGTGTGAGTTGCAAGTTAAAATGTCACAGCTTAATATCAAAGAATCCTGTTATATACTCCAGAGGTCGGATTGCCTTTTGGGGTTGACTTATCCAATGTAGAGCAAAGAGGATTTATTCTGTTTGGTTTTCCCTTCTCGCTCATTATACTACTCACATATGTTTCCACTGTATTTAGAAACTGCGGTTTTCAGACCAAGTCTGGTTTCCCTTCCTCCACTTCTCTTCCAATTTAAGGCCTTCCAGTCTTGGACAGGGACAAGGCAGTTTATCTCCCAAGAGATATTTATTCTCAATCCTCTTTTTCTCTTTTTAGTCATGCTTGTCTTAGTCATCATGCAAGTTGGCCCATTTCCTAATTAGTGTTTATCGCTAGTAGTCTTCAAAAGAATATTTTCCCCGTACTAGGTTTAATTAGTCAAAATAGCAGGAAAGTGTTCTTTATTGGGTCCCTGGGACTAGAGAGGGAGGAATATACAAAACATGATGGAGAAATTGTCTCCCCAGATAGAGAAAGTAACCCAGGCTAGCCCAGAGTAGGAAATCACTCTGGGCTAGCCTGAGCTAAATTAGGTGGCTCATTGAAGCATTCTAAATATTTTAATTCTAGACATTTTCAGGTTTAGAACTCGTGAAAAGTGCTATATCAAATGCAAGAATTATTATTATTATTCTTTTTATTTGATCTCTTTCTTTCTATTCTCCCACAACCTGCTGCCTTTACTTGCACCCAGAACTGCTGTCAACTACCAAATGTGTAAATGGGCCAGCCTTCGCCTCTTCCAAAGCCACCACAACCTCTGCCTAAAAACAGTTCAAATGTCTATGACACATCACAAATAGGATAGAGCGTCAGCTTTCACTAGAAATGAGATCTTGAGATTATGGGTTTAAGAGGCAAATCATTTGACTTGAAGCAGAGTTGCATCTGCTTGTTTGTGTGAAATGAGAGTCGCTAATAACCTGGTACACAATTTGACGTCATATTTCCTGCATGTTAGAACAGCGTCAATGAGCGTCTGATCAATGACGGTTTGTTTAATTTCTGGTAAAAGGTGACTTAACGGAACATTTTTCATCTTTTGTTGTTGCAGCGAGCAGGGGATTCTATTGTTGGGGAAACAGAAAGGTAATCTTTATCTTTTGACATTTTTAAAAAGAATTTATAATATATGCTTCATTGTTGAAACTGTAAAACAATTGCCTTGATACATGGGTTTTAACATGCATAGGGTACAAATTCAAACAAAACTTTTTTAGTCATCTTAATGTCCTTCCAGCACATGTGCAAAATTGGGACATTCAAACTATATTGCCAGTACCTTAATCTGAGGCAAAACTACAATCCTCGAACTGTGAAATTGCAGATACAGTGGCACTATATATTTGACACACAGATCATAAAATACAATTGATGTCGGATAAAGCTACTACTTCATTTCTCTTTCCTTTATCTACACTTTATTCTTAGATTGTATTGCTTTCTCATAGCACTAGTACTTTGCCACTTATCAAAGAATGAAAAATTCAAGGAATCCTGAAGTCTTATTAACCGACTACTGAGAACTTGTCAAAACCCCCACTGTAACACTGAAGTCCAGACAGAGGATGAGAGTTTGCTTTGTTTTTATAGTGAGAGAAATTATATGGTGCAACAGCCATCTAGGCAGTTTAACTGATGGAATGGATCAGAATGTCAAGGTCTAAATGGTAGGTAGAGCTGTCAGTACAAAATGGATAGTTTATTTGTTCCTGACTGTTATGTACTCTTTATGTATCCAATAGTGCTGACAGTGCCTCGGTAAAATTCTGTTCATCCAGGAACCACATACTGTTTACATACACACATACCTCACTATATATAAAAGTCCAACCTTCAGTTTTAATGTCACAAGTTCCCAATGGCCAACTAAAGTCTGATGTGAACAGAATGAAAACAACAGCAACTGCTTGCATTTATATAGTGCCCTTCGCACCAGGTGTCATCTCGGGGCTCTTAAACAGAGTAACTTCACAGAGTGGTCAGATATGTTGATTTTCATTGGATTCATCCAGTAACCAAGGATTTCCTTCAGCTGTAGCCATTGTCTTTCTCTGGTCTCCCTGGGCCCCATCCAGGTTCACATGTAGTTACCACAGCCTGCATAGTGAATCCCTGGGGCTGCTGCTTTTGCTGGAGTCTCACCTCCCAAGAGTTAGGGTCAGGATAGAGAAAGAGCTACCCTGCCACTTTAATTAAAACCCAAACCATTTCTTCTGCTTTACAGATGAGATGAGCAGCTGGTTTCTAGGGACACTACAGGAAAAGGGTTGTTTCCAAAATTAGTTCAATAGCATTCCGTAGGCTTTGAGCTTTTCAACCTCATTAATTTCCTCTTGTGACTGTAGGTTCCCCTTTTGTCTTTCATTATCAATCAGCCATCACTGTTTACCGCAGTCAGGTGAGCAAGATTTTGATATTATCCTTAAAGGTCAGACAAATGTAAGTCATTTGAAATGTGCTACAAACGGTTTCAAAAGTGCCCGTATTTTCTGTAAGCTACTTCCATTCCCATGTTGTAGCCTTGCATTTGTGAGGTCCCAGACAGGATGCGGTGCAAAATAATTGCAATGGTGACAAAACACATTGCCAACCTCCCTACATTTGCACTGTTCTTCCTTCCCCCTGGAGCTAGCCTGGGTAATCTAACTGGAGCATAGGAAAAAAGTATATTTAAACAGAACTGAATGAAATAACTGGACAGTCAAATCACTATTGAATAAATTTCTGGGAATTCTGGGAACAGTATTCCAATACTTCACAGAATTTTGATTTTAGCTAAAGCGTTTCCTCCTTCCTGGTCTTATTACAATCATTTGGACCTATTTTTCTCCCTTTGAAATACAATCACTTTATGTTTGCAAAGGATCTCACTCAATTCAACTCAATGAAACTAGTTAATACTTTGCCTGAGTTTCATTGTACTTAGCGAAATAAAACGTCCAAAGTTTGTTTTGAAATATTGTGCAGCATTAAGTATATGTATAAAACTGTATTTTGACAATACTCTTTAATTCAAACTGTACATTTATCTCCAGTTCTACATTCTTAAAATTGAATTCATGAAATATATGAGAACAGAATATGTTTTGTCCTCAACTGATCAAGTTATTTTGTTTTATTTGTGCAGAAACAGCAGATTCTTGCTAGTGATGTATCAATGTTCTCAGGGTTACTTATTTACTGATTTCCTTCTAGCAACGTTTGTTGAACTAATTGGCATATTTAAAAATAAAATATAATTGTTTGGGGCCTATTTTTCCAGCCATTAGTACAAATGCTGTTTACAAAGCTTCAGTGCTCAGCATAAGTTCAGTCATACCGTTAGCACTCTCTCCTGAATGACAATGTGCAGTTTCCCCAACTGTCCTGAACCCAAATAACAACATCAGTGTAGAATAAAAGAAGCAAGGGCACATTCAGGGACAGCTCTTAGCCTCGACTATTCTCAATAACCAGGGTCTGGTTCGATTGGGGTACCATCACATTCCTGTGTAAATGCATTTGTGTTCCTTTCACAAATATCTTACCTGATCCTCACATGTGTAGAGCTGAAGCTTGAATGAACCTGTACTTTTGAAACTTAAAGGCTGTAGGTGTCCTCCCCCCAGACTATCAATACCTCCACCTGGCAATAGACTGCAACAGTCATACCTCAAAACCAACATTTGTTTTGCAAACAATCCATTGCTATAAGAATGATCCATTGTATGGGCAGGCAGTTCTGATGACCAACTTATGATCTTCTTTAGCTTGCAGTGATGGTTGTGACAGCACAACTGCTGCCTAGCTAAAGCTAAGGCGCCACTATATACCCCAAACATGGTTCCAAAGCTGGTTCTTCATTCTATCTCTGGAGGCAACAGTCAAATAAACTAAAGGACTACCATCAGTGTGCCACTTTGCTCTTGGCCCTACTTCTGTTCTTCGCTATTCAGCTGAGTTTGCTGTTGGCTACAGCGATCAATGCCTCTGATTGACAGTCACAATCAGGGACTGGGGCTGAATGTCTCAGCCTAACCCAAAGAAGAAATGGAAGTTTTATGAAACAAATCAAATTTTGATTCTAAGTAGAAAGCATTTGGCTCTGACTGGGCGAAATGTGTTGCAAGTAATGATTGTTCTGCACTCAACTGAATGGTACCTACACACATCTAGATTTTACCTAACATTTGTCTATTACAACCAGAAACTATGAACAAAATTGGATATTGATTTGCCTGATTTATGCTTGTAATGAATTTGGCAGTAGGGCCTTATGAAACTGCTGAGGCAAATTAAATGGAAGCAAAACATAGTAATAAATCGGCTAAATGAATCTCTACATTTTGTGTCATACCCTTTAATGTCAGATGAATCATTATTGGAGGCTGCCTTCCTTCATAGCAAAGTAAAGTTTGCTTCATGTACAGATAGTTGTCGTGTTAATTTCTATAACAGCAAATATGCTACTTATTTTTTTATTTTGGAGCAACAGTCTTCAGCAAAGTATGTCTTTCTTACATTAACTCATTACAGTGTGCATGAAGATGTCATTTCACTGCTGATTTTCATTTGTTCAACTGGTATTGATTACAATTACACTCTTTAGTATGGGTATCATCACTTCTCAACTTTTTTGACCACCAACCTAGAAAAGACCTCTGCCACTACAAAAATACAGATAGAACCTGGAGTAAAAGTACTCCACTAACTCTAAAATATATGTATATTCTTTCCCATATTTTGCTTCCATGTTTATTTTGTTTGCTGACTGCCTAAGCCTCTGGAGAGATAGTGAAAGAGAGTTGGATGCTGATACTTACAGGGTCCAATTCATGAATATTGTCCCCATATTCATGAAGTCTGTAGCCTGCCAATATGGGAGAGAAAAGATGGGGAACTATAGACCAATTGGTCTGACATCAGTGGTAGGGAAAATTCTTGAGTCCTTAATCAAGGATGTCGTTATGGGATTCCTGGAAGACCATAACAAGATTAGGCAGAGTCAACATGGCTTTACAAAAGGGAAGTCATGCTTAACTAATCTTTTAGAGTTTTTTGAAGATGTATCTAGCAGGTTAGATAGGGGGGAACCAGTAGATGTAGTATATTTAGATTTTAAGAAGGCATTTGACAAAGTGCCACACAAAAGGCTATTGCACAAGGTTAAGGCCCATGGGATTAATGGGAACATATTACATGGATTGAAGAGTGGCTAACGGGTAGAAAACAGAGAGTAGTGATAAACAAATCATTCTCGAATTGGCAGGATGTGACTAGTGGAGTGCCACAAGGATCAGTGCTTGGGCCTCAGCTATTTACAATTTACATCAATGATCTAGACGAGGACATTGCATGTAACGTGTCTAAATTCGTGGATTGACACTAAACTAGGTGGGAGAGTAAGCTCTGAGGATGATGCAAAAAGATTGCAACGGGATAGAGATAGGCTAGAGGAGTGGGCAAGTAGGTGGCAGATGGAATTTAATGTGGGAAAGTGTGAAGTTATTCACCTAGGTAGAAAAAGTAGAAAAACAGATTATTTTCTGGAGGGGGAGAGATTAGATAGTGTTAGTGTTCAGAGGGATTTGGGTGTCCTTGTACACCAGTCTCAAAAAGTTAGTTTGCAGGTGCAGCAAGCAACTAAGAAGGCGAACGGCATATTGGTGTTCATTGCAAAAGGTTTAGAGTACAAGAGTAGGGAAGCTTTGCTGCAACTGTATAGGGCCTTGGTGAGACCGCACCTAGAGTATTGTGTGCAGTTTTGGTCTCCTTATTTAAAAAAGGACATACTTGCCTTAGAGGGGGCGCAGCGTAGATTCACCAGGTTAGTTCCTGGGATGAGGGGACTGACCTATGAGTATAGGCTGAATAAACTTGGGCTATATTCTCTAGAGTACAGAAGAATTAGGGGAGATCTTATTGAAACATAAGATTCTTAAAGGGCTGGATAAAGTAGACACTGAGGGTCTGTTTCCCCGGGAGAAGAATCTATAACCAGGGGACACAGTCTTAAAATTAAGGGTCAGCCTTTTAGAACAGAGTTGAGTAAACATTTCTTCACTCAGAGGGTAGTGAATTTATGGAATTCACTACCCTAGAAGGCTGTAGATGCTCAGTCCTTGAACATTTTCAAGGCTGAGACTGATAGATTTATTAAAAATAGAGGGATTAGGGGATATGGGGATAGGGTAGGTAATTAGAGTTGGGTCAGAAGATCAGCCATGATCTTATCGAATGGCGGGGTAGGCTTGAGAGGCCGAATGGCCTACTCTTGCTCCTAATTCTTATGTTCTTATGTTCTTATCTTACCTAAGGATCCATTGTGAATCCAGTCAGTGACTATCAACAGGCATTCAACTGTGGAGAGCATCACAGCTAAACTCAACCCTATTGTTGATGAACAGCCACCAAGTAGCATCTTCCAGGAGAGGTCACTGGATATCTATTTGAACCTCGCATCATAGCTGATCTTTTTTTATGTTCTCCAGGTGACTGAGGCTATTTGTTTCCCAGCTGATAGCAGATCTTTCAGTATGGATCAGTAACCTGTGATCTTCTGGCTTCACGACAGTGCTGTACCTTTACCCATCAGACAATTGAAGCAGTCACTTGTGTTGGGATTGTTTATTTAGTTTCCTGTCACAACCATAGTCTGATTGTCAAGGCACCACTGCCTTATTCTGATTCTCTGAGCAAACAATCTCGTCATTAAATGATTCATTTTCCTCAAATAAACATGAAACAATCCACAATATATCAAAGCAATAAAAATGTGCAATTCAGTCAACACTGCAAGCGTACTTCATTACTTCTTAAAAAATACATTGCGACACTTTTCCATCACCTGAATGTATAATGCTTTTTAACAGCATTGTTTTTTGATATGTTTCTACAGGTATGCGAGTGCTGGTGTTGACAGACAAGGAGGCACATCAATGAGGAAGGTCAGACAATTCTGTACTAGATGCACAGTTTAAATGACTGCGTATATGATGTATCTGTTTAATGCAGTTTGTTTGGATGTAAAATGACGGTCGCACAAAATTAACTGACTTCACGATAATATAAAGCTAGAAGAATATCACTTGTGACAATCCCACGTACATTTTCTTTCTTCCCGCAAAGCCTTAATTAACTGGCTATTTGGGCAACTGTTTACAAAACTCTGCTACACTGGAAGCATTTCCAAAGCCATTTGGGGGGAATTATAGAAATGAATTATGAACACGGTGGTTAAATTATGTAAATTTTATTCATAGGTTAACTTAGGTTCTTCAAATCTGAATTTTACTTTCCTTCACAACGACATAAATAATGCTTACGATCCATCTGCAAACCCCTCAATTGCATGGCATAAGATGCAATGTTATCTTGATCTTACTCATTTGTTCGACTCCATATGCTTCAACAATTGATCCAAAACAGAAGTCAATAGAAATGTACTGCCAGGCAGGCAGACTGCAGACCTGGCATCTAAGACAGAATTAAATACTAAGCTAACATGTATCAGCTCTGCCTTGGTGCATCCATCCTTCAGATGAGATGTTAAACGTCTGCCTGTTCAGGTGGACAGTTAACATCCTATGGTGCTATTCGACAAGAGAAAGGAGTTCCTCCTGTGTCCTGGTCAAGAATTCAGCGAATAAAATTGGTCATGCACTTCATAGTTGGTGTGAGATATTGCTGTGTGTGAATTGTCTGGAGTTTTCGCCGACAAATACACAGTCAATAAATAGATAAGCAAACTCTTCAAAATAAGAGCAATCAGAAAGGTAAAGATCCCCAGTAGTTTTCACAGAAGAAAAACAAGGACTCCCAGTCACAATTAATGCCTGAAATTGGTGAAGTTTTACAAGTTCTTGACCACTTGATGAAGCATTCAGTTTGAGACTTGCAGATATCTCTCCTCTGCTCAGCACCTTCCCATGATAGTACACCTGAAATTGATATCTTACTGTGTGGAGGTGCAGGAGCAGGAACAGAGGACACAAGCCAACATTGTACCACTTAGCGGCACAGCATGATGGGAGTCCTGATGTGCTGAGTTCCTCTGTGTTAAATTCTTGAATTTTAGGAGCACTGTATCAGTGTGGTTTAAAACACGTTATGTTTCCACTGATTGTTCATCTCTTTGTAAAGCTTGTGTAGCACAATGTGTCTCTGGTTTGCCGATAACACACCGATGTTGTGGTCCTAAACTTAGACGTGAACTATGACTTTTACTTGCCTCTTTTTACACTCCACTGGAACACTAAATAGTCATTGCCATGCTCATTTTGTGTACTGTTCAGGATGCCTGTCATAGTTGTACATCACCTTCAACCTTTTAAACTATACCATGGCACAAAGCAATTCACACAGCAGAATTAGCAGTCTGTCATACAGTTCAGGTATCTCTCTACGTCAGAAAACTAAAATTGTTTAACTTTAATAATTCAGGCCTCAGATGACAATCTGCTTCCCATTTAATGTGACTTCCATAAAATCTATTATTTATTGGAGAAAAAATTAAACTGTCTTAGAAGATAAATGGCTTGTCTTGCTCAAGAATCTGCCATAATGATAATCTTTAAGAACATAACTCCAAACGTCCAGTGCAATAACTTAAAGCGTCAGGAAAACCATTCCTCATAATTGTAAAAACAAATCTATCTTTGCAATTTCAATGTGAATAATAAGCTGTAGATATATTTTGAGGTGGGTATAAATTATCTGGAGTATCTACTAAATAAATGTGACAACCTGATATTGAAGAAATACAAGGCCAAACCTATGGAATGAAATTCTGTTAGCTGGTATGTAAAGTTGCCACAGTTGGCAGCATATAATAGGTGAAATCCTATTATACACATACAACAAGAACAACAGATTTACTTTATGTAACACCTTTCACAACAGGAAGATGTCTCAAAGTGCTTAACAGTCTCCCAAACATTATTCATCGACCAGCTGAATATCTTACCTCTATTATTTTCAGAATGAGTCAGTGTGCGTCCACCAAATCACTGGAGCTGCTTTGTACCTTGAGGCATCCTTCTGATAAGTTATTATACTTACACAAAAGAGCCATTTATGTCATTAAATAAATACAAATGAAATCATTGGAAGAATATATTTACACACTTCCTTGGGAAGACAATGATAGTACAATACACAAGGTATTCCCAAACCTGAGGCCATTTTCTTCCACATGAAACAAAATCATAATTAAGGAAAATGGAATTTCTTACAAATGTGTTCCATCAGTCAAGTCAATAATAGTTTAAAAAAACATTTTTTATTGCCAGGAGAGGTAGAAGCAACAACAGCTTTTTAATAGTAAGTGAGACTGGATTAACACAGAACCCATCTCATACTCGCACTAACATGGAAAAAATGAGCGGTAGAACATGGGAAAAGATCGCCTAAGTAGTACACAGAAATGAGACCACTATATTTTCTGAAGTGTCTGCCAGCGATCAATACTTCTATAATAATAGAAATTCCTCTAGCAGATTTAAATGTTTGCTGTTACTTTGCAGAAAATATGGTCCTTTATATCAATGTACTTCAATCCATAGAATTTTCCATCATAATGACCTGTAATTAGCATTATATTTAATACAGTGTTCTTATATCAAATCAGCAAAACATAGGGTAATAATTGTACCTTGTCACACTCCATTTCCATAAACACAGCAAAAAGATAAAGAGAGGATTAATTATTTTACCACAAATGTCTAACAACTGCATTTTCAGAAAGCGCCACAATTTTTCTGTCAAATCCAATTAGTTGAGGGAACACATGCTTAAATCACATCCTTCAGGATTAAAGGAGCAATTCTTCAATCAGCAGAATATTAAAATAAACTGCACCAAATCTGACAGTTATATAATTTTCTTCAATACATCCACAGGAGAATAGATCCTGAAGCTGACAAGTCCAAGCAACAAGTTTCAGAGGATACAGGACCAACTTAATTTTATGGTGGGAAAATATTCCAGAGTGAGGCAATAGGAATACTTCATTCTGAGACATGGTTGGGGTGGGATGGGAGTAATTTGTGAGAATCACAAATCCTGGATGTTTCTCAGGCCAACCCTCTGGAATTCGATTTCCAATTTACGACGATTTACACTGATCTGACTGCCACCAGGTGCCTACCTCAGTGGTTAGAGCACTCGCTTTGCAAGCGAGAGACCTGAGTTCAATTCCAGGCAGGGCGAAACCTTGGGCAAGTTTCCTTACTCCACACGCCTAATAATAATCCCTCCAAAACCAAAAACAATAATAAATTGCTCATTTTCAATCTACGACTGTTTGTGGGACATTGCTGTGCGCAATTGGCTGCCGCGTTCGCCCACAAATATACAGTCAATTCACTTTACAGTGTGTTCTGTGAAGCGCTTTGGGACGTCCTCCCAACGTGAGCGCTATATCAAATGCAAGGATTATTATTCTCTGGCTACAATCCAACTTCTTTATTCTAAGTATCAACGTGCAGAATGGAGATATTGCAGATTCCAGAGCCCCTTTCTTCTGAATCCCTGATCTCTTTGTAGCTGTGATGTCCAAAGTGGAGGCTAGACATCTTGTTTGTGGGGCAGAGCTAAATTCATAGTAAATGTCTCAACCTTATCATGCTTGCACATCTCTTTACGGCTGATATACCTATAGCATTATTTTGTTTATTCTGTGTAGGGAATAAACTCATTGAATCAAGATGTGACATGGAGCTTAATGATTGCAGTTAATGCCACACTTCACTGAAACAAACAGTTCTATTTACTGTTTTGTGCAAATAGTTACCACAGCAAAACACAGAAATCAATTGCAGCTCTGTGAAAAGGTGCAGGTTGTAGTTTGTCAGGAGCTTCATGCCATCTCTAAATGATTTATGCAAGCCTTTCTGCATAACATTAACAAAGGCAGGAAACACTCAGTGGATAAAGCACTGTTCTTAGTTCTTAGTGCTCTGTTTTTAGACGTCCTCTTTCTGACAAGCTGGAAAGTCCTGCAAACTGTCTGGAGAGCATTTGATCAAAGAAATGTTAGACTCCAGCTGTGTGCAGTACCTCACACAAGAGCTATTTATTTTTTATTTATAACGTACATTGCTAGTAGATTCTTCTGAAAGGTTCTGATCTGTTGCCTTCCGATCTTGCATAATCTGACTATACTGTTTATGGAATAAATGCCTCCACACTTTTTTTTAAAAGGACACTTTAAGATTTGCTTTTTGTGCCGGATTAACTGGTGGGTCTTCCAGGGCTTAACCCATCCGTTCTTTAAACAGAATTTGCTATTACAAAGAACATTGCAGCACAGAAACAAGTCATTCAGCAGCATGGAAACAGGCCATGCCGGGGTTTATATTCCACACAAACCACCACCCCTTCTAATCACTTCCCTCATACCCCTTTATTCCCTTCCCCCTTCATGTATGCATTCCTGTCTCCATTATATGTGCACGGCAGTTTTTAGAGTTCCAGTACATTATAGTGATAACAATGAAAATATTTGTAGACTTGCAGTCCAGGGCTAGATATCCATCACAGTTAAAAGGCACAGTTATAGGAATTCATTTTCTGTTTCCTGCATTAAGGGTCAAGCACAAATATTAATGTTTATGCATTGTGTGCAATTACTTCAGTTGCTGTGGGGGGGCGGAGGGGATTCTTTTAAGGAGACGTTTATTCATGTTTTGCAAACATGAATATATGATTTCTTCAATATTGCAACTTTTTTGCCAAACATGTTTCACGCAACAGTAATGTCACTTTAAACCTATTTTTATAATTAAACAGAATAATACATTTCACATACCACTGTGAGTGGAAGCTTGAAGTGGTTTCAAGGTAGATCTTAGAGAAACTATGGGTGAAACTGGAGGGCCGTTACATTACTGACTATGCTGCTCTTTGATATTGTGCAGTTGTTATTTTACCTACTGATGTTCTCAGTGTTGAATGCCGCTGTAACATTTCTCACGCAGCCTTGATGAATGATTCTCATGTCACCACATAGATCTGCACAGTTGTTTCCAGCATGTAGTGATGTCTTTAAACCTCTTGGTTCCCATCAGTGGTCACTGCAGCATTTATACTGAAAGGCAATGTTAGCGTGCCTTAGCACTATCAGTTTTATACCTCTCCTGTTTCTTTGAAGGCTGTGAATGAGAATGAGTGGGATGAATACATTATGGATTGTAAAATAAATGGTGCGATCTTGTTAGAAACTTGACAGTTACAAAATTAATATTCTTTGTTTTTTATTAGCATATTTGATTTTTTTATATAAAATATCTGTGTGCTAACTATAAATATTTAATTAACTTGTTTGTCTCCTTTTGCAGTCTTTTCATTACGCTTCTCTGAGGTCTAAAACCAAAAAGAGAACCAAAGGTAGGAAATTTGTAAGAAAGTTTAAAGATGTCACTTTTTCAGAGTAATTTTTTAATAAAATTTGCCTAATGTTACATTATTGACCATTCATAAAATCCAGCTAATTCAAATCGCTGCCGCTGTATCCTCACCCGCACAAAACTCACAAAATATACAGTCACTACACTTTACAGGATACTCTGTGAAGCGCCTTGAGACTCTCAATGACGTGATCAGGCGCGATATCAAATGCAAGGATGATTATGATTATTATTATCACCCACATCACTCCAGTACTTGATAGGCTCCACTGACTCCCTATCATAGAACGGATCAATTTTAAGATCCTTAACCTTGCGTACAAATCACTTCATGCCCTGGCATATCCCTTGGTGTCCAACCTGCTTACACCCTACTCGACTACCTGCTGCCTTTGCTCAGTTTGCTCCTGCCTCCTGCATGTCCCCTCCCCTCCATCATTGACCACTGCGCTTTTGTGAGCGTGTCTGTGCGTGTGTGTCTGTCTGTGTCAATGAGTGTGTGTCGGAGTATATCCGCAACATCTGCCGAATTTCCCCGCAATTTGGGGCAAACATTTCCGCATTTTTCTATTGGCCCTGGTCGCGAGTGATCAAATACACGTGGCATACTGTGGGTATGGTCACACTGAATGGAACAGGATTGCAGACTGACAATGTTGTGAACTGTACAGACAAACCCACCAGGACATGTGTAAAGCAGCTGCTCCATACTTCACCAATGAAGTCCCCCTCCCACAGTCCATGTTACATAACAATCCCCTGGCAGCAGAACGCCACCTGACAGCAACCTATCCGTACTGCAGCAACACAGCATTTCATCACCCTGCAATCTCCTGCCATCCATGCGTGCAAATAGTATATTCAAAATAATAATTTTCTATTCAAAAAATATATAAGAAAGCCCAACACCAATAGAATATTGCTTTGTTTACCGCACAAATCACCTGTGTTAACTGACAACCATACTTCATGAAATAGGTGACTGTTTGCTCATTAAATTCTTTTTAATATTCAGCTCCAAAGTATGTTGGTATCCTTTACTTACTTTACTTGATTGTATGTTTGGATCAGTTGATCCGAAATCTGTGAAATCTGGCATTCTTTTTTCTAATCCGTTATCAGAAGGGAATGAATTAATATGTTGACATTCAGCTTTTGTCATGTAGGTTAAAATACGCTATAGCTGTGGTAAATGTTAGTGGTCATTGGAGAATATCACAATAGATATCTGAATAAATATCTAAAGCTGTTAGGTTATGGAAATATTCCAAATAACAACTTTGCCAACAAAATACGCAATCACTTCTCTTTACAGTAAATTCTGTGAAGCACTTTGAAACATTTTGATGACTTGGTAGGGTTGAATGCAAAAATTATTATTTTATTACTTAATAGGTGGTGATCTCCAAGTGAGGCCAGTACTTAGTGACGCTCATAGTAAATTAATATAAACTGATTCATTGATATTGTGTTGTTTGTTGGTATTTTCATTCCCTTTATATTGCTTAATTATTGCTGCCAGGTTCTTTGACCAGTGGAAGCAGAAGGCGGATTTCCTGCAAGGACTTAGGCCACGGGGATTGTGAGGGTTGGTTGTGGAAGAAAAAAGATGCCAAAGGATACTTCACTCAGAAATGGAAAAAATATTGGTTTATTCTGAAGGAAGCATCGCTTTATTGGTACACAAACCAAAATGTAAGGAACACTGTCCTTTTTTCATTCTCTTCTTTTTTCAAAGCAATCAAAAGAAATATTGATTCGCAAGGAGGTTTATTCAAAATCAGTGAATTATATTGATATTGTGTGCACAATATTATCCTAATTATCATTCCTTCAAGACATGAAAGAAACATAGCTAACTTCTGTGTCGTATGGCAATGGGCAAGCTCAGGAACTCAGTGATAAGCCCTATGTTTTGCAAGATGAATCCTTGGGAGACATACGGATGATTTGTCAGCGAGTGCTAAATTGCACTGACACAGTAGCAAGCATTGTTCTAAGATTGAAGTAAAGTAAAGTGACTTTGGGAACAACTCTCTTGACCTTTGCCCATTAACGGTATTAAAACTGAAATGGTTCACGTAAGGTGCTCAATTTGCAAATTGACAGCAGTTTCAGCAGCATTATGATGCCGGTTATAAAGGTAGTTACCCCCATCTGATCAGAACACTAAAGCAGCCATGTGTTGAATAGGTGCATTTATTGAATTGAAACCTTAATGTTTCAATTTCAATTTAATGTGATGTGTGTCATAAGTGCAGTTGATTATGCTCAAGACTATTGGCTCTTATGTAATATTGCTGTTTTTCACCTTAATTTCTTTTGTCTTATTGCCCAGTAATTTCACTGATTTCTCCTGTGTGCTAAACTCTGTTTTCAGTCCAAATATCTTAGTTGCAGATAGTTTTGATCTCCCACCTGATTGCTAAATGTAAAACAAACCCTGTGAATCTAAAACTTGCACTAAAATGGTGAGCAACCATCAGTTGCATGAAAAGTCAATGAAATATAGATTGGCTTTGATATATTTATGCTTGAAAAATGTATCTTGATGAATACATATGGAAATCAATGATTTTTTGATGCTGATGCTGTCATCATTTGGTTCAAACACAAGGAAGTGCATTTGATTAATTATCAAAATAAAAGCATTAAAGAAATAATGGTGCCACCATTAACAAAGGCACGAAAAATACTTTCATACTTTCAAAGCACCCACTGTAACACGTAAGAAAGAGCAGAAGTCAAAATGGAATGAAATTATTTTGGGAGGTTTAATTATAACAGTTGGGGGCTATCACACAAAAAGCACAAATATTATGCATTTGAAAGATAACTCATGACCAGGGCCAATGGAAAATTGCAGAAATATTTGCCAACAATAGTGGGGAAATTTGGTGAGGGTTGTGGGCAAAATTGACATGTTTTACGGAAAATTGCAGCGGCTATAAACAGCAGAAGAGTGTTTATAGTGGAGGATGTTGTTTATAGCAGATTCCACAGAAGAATTGCAGCCGCGCTTTTCTATGGGCCCAGCTCATGACTGCAAGAATTTATGTTTTAAAATCAGAACTATTTAAAGTACCGCAGTGGTGGGACGTTATGTCAGGAATTCATGAGATTTCACTATTCCTTATTTTTATCTAAATCTATATGCTTTAATATTCAATGCCATATTTTGAACTTTAAGAGAAACGGAAAGATAGATATTGTTCAAGTAAGAAAATAAAGGTCTCCTCCAAAAGCAAAGCTTTGTTTTACATATGATAATAATCACTGAGCACTCTGCTTCTTTTTGGCAGGATGAAAAGGCTGAAGGGTTTATCAGCTTGCCTGAGTTTAGGATAGACAGAGCTGTTGAATGCAGAAGGAAACAGTAAGTATAATATTGCAGTCTGGCTGTGTGATTTTCAAAAAAAATCAGGAGCAACTAGTGAATTCATTTGGAAAGCTTTAAGCATCTATTCGTATCAAGTGGTGCTGGCAGATTTTTTCTCTCTATCAGACAAGTTTCTGCAATTAAGAAATATCCATTTCTAAAAATGGAAAAATATACTGTCTAAATTATTAACTTTCTTTGTGTTGCTCTGAATGTTTTGACTGTGGTGTTCTTTTTTCCCTTAAGTGCATTCAAGGCTTGCCATCCCAAAATTAAGAGCTTCTACTTTGCAACTGACGGCTTGGAAGAAATGAATAGGTAAAAATGTTCAGTTCTGACCAATTATGTTCATGAGTATTGGTAGGTTTGTGTTTCTATAGAACCATTAGAAATTATCACCGATGAAGAAGGCCATTTGGCCCTTATGTGTGCATGCTGGATCTTTGAAACAGCTATCCATTTAGTTTATTCATCTGCCTTTTTTTTTAGATATTCCAGTCTTGAGAGGAGGCAACTCAGAGGGGAGTTTATAGAGATGTTTAAAAATTTAAATGAGATTAAAGAATTAAACCCAGTACAATCGACTGCATCAAGATAGTAGAACAAGGTTTAGAGTTGCTAAGGGTAGTTTCAGGACAAAAGACAGGAAGATTTTCTTTGCCAAGAGGGTAATTAATGATTGCAACAAGTTGCCAGGAAGGGTGGTTGCGGGCAGGACATCTGGACTCGTTTAAAAAGCAACTTGATGTTATAATGTGAGGATGGTAGGGTGGATATTCTAGAAGGGTATTGCATGAGCCAAAGAACTTTCTTCATCCAAACTAATCTTGTGAAGTTATTTAAAGCCCTCCTAAAAGCTTGCATGGATTCTGCCTCAACCATTGGTCCAGATAAACCAACGCCCTCTGTGCAATAACAATTATCCTAACTGTTCCCTTTGCTCTTTTGGTATCTACCTTAAATCTGTACCCTCTAGTTCCCACTGGCAATGGAAGTAATTTCTTCCTGTTTACTTCATCAGTACTCCGAGATGCTACCCATGTGAAGGGCACTATATAAGTACAAGTTGTTGTTGTTGCTGTTGTTTTTCATCAAATCCCTGAATAGTTTTACAAAGCCCCTGTCAAGTTGCTTCTCGACCTCTTCTGGTCTGGAGAACAGACCGTTAAATATTGCCGTTTTTTAATAATAGTGTTTTTGATAAGTCTTAGCTGTGAACTTCTTGGATACAGCAGATAGAATGTGATGAGTCAATTCACCTGATAATTTATGAGTGACAAAATCATGACTAATTTAAGATTGGTGCATAAATCCTAACCCACAGGTCTTCACAACCAACATCATGTGCAGCAAAAGTCAAACATTAATCTGATATATATTCTTTAAATTCAGAGTTGAATGATTAAATTTATTCCTTTGTAGCATGATTTTGGTGCCTCTGGAGGCTATACTAGCACTAATTAAGCTATTGTGTACAATACTTATACTTTGAACATTATCTTCAAACAAGTTTTTCAACAAAAAATAGTTCCAGTAATCAGAATGGCTTATGACTTCTTCTCCAGAAATGTAAAATTATCTCATCAAAATGCTATCATGCAGATGACATGACTCCAATCAACCCCTTAAAAGAGTTCTCTCATTCCAATTTGCCTTTCTTTTGTGCTTTGGAGAGCGCTATAAGGATATGTCACTTATTCCATGTGACATGCATGTTTTAGCATTCCATTTCAAAACAAAATATAATCTGAAAGAACAACAACAACTTGCATTTATATAGCGCCCTTCACATGGGGTAGCATCCCGGAGTGCATGAAAGTGGCGGAGTCTGACCCCAAGCCAGGGGGAGAGGGATGGGGAGAAGTGACCATAAGCACGATCAAAAAGGAAGATCTTTAGGCGGGATTTGAAAGTGGAGCAGGAGGGGGCAAGGTGGAGGGATAGAGGGAGAGAGTGCCAGAATTTCGGGGGATAGTGACTGAAGGCACGGCCACACTGGTGGAGCGGAGGGGATGGCGGACGAACAGGAGGCCGGAGCCAACTGAGCTGAGGCAGTGGGTAGGGGAGTGGTGGGTAAGCAAATCGGATAGATATGGAGGTGCGAAGGCATGAAGGGATTAGAGGAACTGTGGAAACTAAGCTTGCAAATTAATATTAAATAATTTTCCAATATTGTGTACAATTTTACATTTTAGAACAATGGCCATACGCCCAAGACTGTGATAATTTGAACCTCAGATTTTCAACCTGCGGTTTTCTTTTCTATTTCTGTCAAATCAATCTTAAAGCTCTGGTTACTCCCGATATAGATCTAATTACAAGGCTCCTGCGGCAACACAGTATTTTTTGCAACCATTCAAACTCCAACATGTACAGTAATACATGTGACTGAGTTTAAATGCCCAGGGAAACATTTCCCAGTGCAAAATGTGTGCTAAACTAATCGCAGGCTTTTCCCAGTAAGGGAGAACTGAAAGGTTTAAGCTTTAATAGACTACTAAAAATAGTTGAAGGAAAAACATGATCTTGAAGAGAAAAAGAAAGATTATCACCATCAAAAGAGCAAAATCCAATTCATGGCTGGAATGTTTATTCACTAGTGCTTTAATAGCAAGTTGCCATTTCTGCTAAGATGAGGGCAACATTTTTCTTTGGAAGGAATAATTGACAGCAGCAACTTTATTTCATCAGAAGTATTTTGAACTGTATGTATTGCACTTTCACATCTTCCAGACATCCAAAAGCCATCAAAGTGGTTCTGATCCTTTGCTGGTATCTCAGCTGAAGACTAATTAGCAGTATATAACACAGAGTATATATTATTTTTCATCAGTAAGCTTGAACATCAGTAGGCTAACATACCAAGATGCACGGTAAAAGTCGATTCAGGTTGCTAAGTAACAATCCTTTTGAACTCAAGTTTACTGATGTTTTATGCGTGAAGACCAGTCTTTCTTAATGTAATATAGAAGCAGTTGCAGTTTTGATGAAGGCCAATGAGCCAGTTTGTGTTTTAAAAGTAGAACACTAATGAATATTGATCAATATGATAGTCCCAATCTATTCAAACTCATCAGTGAATGTACCATTTGTTTGTATCTTTCCAGATACTTATTGAATTTAAAATACCTTTTTAGAAACATATTGAGTCAGTGAATATGTATCACAATCAGATACTTTGGGACGTCCTCCCAATGTGAAAGGCGCTCTATAAATGTAATCTTGTTGTTGTTGTTGAAAATAAAGGTTTCAAAAGGTCTGGGAAGAATAAAATAATAAGGAGAATTAGATGAAACAATATGGCATTGTTTTGCTGGAAAGTATTTGTTTAAACAAGCTTTCTAATTTTATTTCATTTCGTTCAAGTATTTCTTCACAAATAACATAGTTTTGCTAAAAATATGAAAAGAAATAAAAAATATGAGCTAAATGACTCCATAAAGAAACCAGGGATGAAAGATGCAATGCTTTATTACAGATTCAACTTCGAAACAACATTGATTCTGTTTTGAAGCATCATCTTGTTGACCCCAGGCTTCTTAAAGAAGAAACTCTGCATTTGTAAGGAATCAGTTTGCAGAATCACACCATTGGAGAGTCTCGGCCTGAGACAAGTAGTACATCACTGGCTGATGTGCTTCTGAATATGATTATATTCATGTTTATAGCTAATATGAAATGGTATTCTAATTGGCAATATTATTTAAATAAAATTTGGATTTTAAATTACCATAATTATTCAGCTGGTTTATCTTACATTTCAAGAGCATTAATATGGTAAAGATTATTTTTGAGGCTAATTGAAAACATGTCACTCACAATAAGCACATGAGATATTCAGTCTTCTTTGAGCTTTCAAGATCATGCTTTATTGAAAATAAGTCGTTGTCAGAACCTATTTTGTAGTTAATGTTCTGCTTTTTCTTTGTCACTTAATACCAGTAGCTAACTTCAGCAAAGATGCATTTCTTGAATTTGTCCAGGTTTAGCTCAACAACAAATTTAATAGTGCATGAGATAGCCTAATACTGTGAAGGATCCAGAACTGTGAAGGATCTATTAAGTATTTCATGTAAGAAAGGCAGAAATATTGCCAATATGCTAATTTTTTCAATAACTTTTGGAAAAAACAATACAATCCATACCATCCGGATAGAGAACAATTGAATCTATTTGTTATTTAATGTAAATAGCAAATAATACTAATTTAGTAATACTTATGTTAAGAACAAAGATTCTGCGAGCATTCCCAGTTCTTTGTATTCTCGGGTTTGGAGTGTAATGTGACACATCACTTTCAGTGAAAGAAAGACAGAAACTGGTCTGGAGTCTTCTTCAAGTGAGAGAGTTCAGTGTTGGTTAGGTTTGATTATATGTGGGCCTTAATTCTGCCGTGAACCTTGACTACGACCTGAAGAAACCTCTTCCCATTTTCTTGACAATTTCTATTCTTCAGACAAGCAAGTCTCATCCATCTGAGGTTCTGAATTCTGTGAAGACTCTTTGACGAGATTCTTTAATTAATAATAATCTGTGTGACATCTCAAAGGGCTTCACAGAATATACTGTAAAGTGAATTGACTGTATGTTTTGTGGGTGAAACTCACAAAGCAAAGGTGCTTTGCTCGTGCATTTCTCATGCTCTGGAGTCATCGATCTTTTGAAATTCTGAAACGATACAATACAAAATTACATTTGTATAGCTCCAATCACGTCGGGAGGACATCCCTTACAGAGGTCCCTTGGGACTCACTTACAGCATCGAACAATCCCAGATTTGATAAATCATGGATCAAACACACGGCCAAGTTCCATTTCCAGCTTTTAAGCAGGCAATTTTCATGTAAGTTAGAAAAAACGTCAATGTGAACAACATGAAGTAAACCATACTCAGTTTCATTATAGTCTTTAGAGCACTGAGACCAGTCGTGGCACCCATGACGCTGGCAAAGATTAGCTCAGTCAGCACAGAGCAGGAACTAGTCTTGGATCCTTTCTGTTCATCCCAGATTCAAAGCAAGCGGTAGCTTTCTGAAATGAGCCATTAGGGAGCCTCTTGACTGAATTTTAAAAATAAATGACATTAATAACCATCGAGAAATGTAGGTCTTTATAAAATGTAGAAATTGTGTTCATTATTTGAACATTACTTTTGAAAAAGTGTTAAATTATTAATCTCCCACCCAGATCGAGTTTGATATTTTCTGTGTTTTTTGTGCTCATTAAGCCAAGGGATGTCAGTGCAGGGAATGGACTCCATTCACTTTTGGGACTCACTTACAGCATTGAACAGTCCCAGATTGGATAAATCATGGATCAAATGCATGACAGAGTTCCAGCGTTTGAGCCCAACAGTGAGGCTTAACCTCGCTGGCACTTCCCCTGCAGCAGTCTGAAATTTCCTTTTCCCAATTCAGGAATCCATGTTGCTTTTAAAACAGTGAAACCACTTCAAATGCCACTGCCTCCACTATTCCTGCTGCATCCAACAACGTGAGCTGAAAGCAATACCAGTGAGCATGCCAATTTATTGCCAAATAATTTTTGCTGGAGACTAAAACTCCACTAAAACTGAACTGAAACACCCCAAATTAATTACACTTTTGATCAAGGGGACTTCCGTTCTTTTGTCTAGGCTGGATTCAAAACCAGATCCCAATGGCTCAATTGCAATGAGTTAGCTCATTTAGAAAAGTTAAAAATCCTAAGAATTCTTAGTGCTGTGCTACGTGCAGTAAATCTTACGTTTGAAGGAAGCTAGTACTGTGGAAATCGCTGACAAGTATTTCAAATTGAACTTGCGAAAGTATGTGTCGATAACTCATTAATCTCTGATAATAGGTGTGCATTAACCCAGTCACCTGTTGTGAGATTGCCAGAGAAATGTGTTGATTGGATCTCTTACACAGAAAATTGCCCAGCTCCTGCAGTTCTCATTTGGACATTTACATTTCAATGGCAACAGTCTTAAGAGGTACAACCAACCTCGGTGCAAAGAGATAGATGGGGTTCAGTAAAAGGGTTAACGTGTTTGATATTGATGCACTGATCACCATCTAGGTTTCAGCTGGTGCTCTCTAGTGCTTTTTCTCTAGGTAAAAGTGCAGTTTTGCCGTACTGAAAATGAATGAAGTGCCTCATCAGCTGAGGTGGTCAGTGAACAAAGAGTTGGCTTCTGCTAATAGTATTACGATACATGTGAGACTTGATGTCTGCTCGATTCCCAGTGTCATTTGATTAAATCACACTCTGTTGCTGTATTGCAGAACCACAGTGTGGCTGCAGCTTTCCTAACCTACTGCTGGGTTTTTATTATGTTTTACTCAATCAAATGCTGTTCTGGTGTAAAGCTGGTAATGATAGATGACGCCCTGATATAGTTTAGTAGTAAGCCTGTAGAAACTTTCTATTTCTCCCCAGTTTCTTTCCCTCCCCTCCTGAAGACATTCAACTAATTTTTCCTTCTGCTGGGGTACTGACCCCCAGTATCTCACCTAAACTTGCCATTATTTGTGTGTGAGCATTTCTAGTTAATGTTGGCAGACTATTTAAGTGCAGAGGCATTAGATTGGACAAGCCCAATTTTGTCCTTGTTCATCAACTACATACAGTTACTGCCAGAATGAACAGGAATGAGAAGCCTGATTGATTTTCCCTCTTCCCACTCAGCCCAAGGTTTGATGCCAACAGCAGCCTACAACCCTCAGCCCCTTCCCCACTTCTCCCAAATGATGTTCTGCTTCAGATCAGTCAACTCAACAAAGAACAGGGATCAAACCTGGGACCATCAACCTGTGCTGAGTTACCACATTGTTCATTTTACAGTATATTCTGTGAAGCGTTTTGAGACATCTCGAAGATGTGATATCAAATGCAAGGATTATTATTATTATTATTATTATTCACTTTTGTAATGTAACAAACTTTGAGCATTTTAGTTTGATCCCTTATGTTTGCATTGCGACTCAGATAGTGAATAATCGTCAATTGGGGGGGTTATTTAATACTTTTTGCATGTACACTTTCACTCTCTCAGTACTTCAGTCTGTCAGAAGATACGATCCATTCAGTCAGGATTTGCATTCTGATAGAATAAGTACCTAGTATTGTGTAATTGATTTGCTCAGTAAAAAGGCTAAAAATTCCATTGGTTTTGGTAAAGCACCTAACCTTGGCATTACATCCTGAGAAATCGGAAAATCCTGCTATTGGTGCAAGCTACAAAGATCCAAACAACAACCCAACAGAATTTCACTTCACTGCTTTTTAAAATTGATTGAGCAAAATTGATTCTTTAGTTTCAATGGAAAAAAGCATCCAAAAGTAATTTTCCTTATTGTTCATGATGGATTACTATTTGCAAAATTTGCAAAAGTTTGTTTCCTGACTTATACTTGACTTTTAAATACACTGTTTATTCAATGGGGTACATCAGCAACAACAACTTGCAATTATTTAGCACCCTTCACATTGGATAGCGTCTCGGAGAACATATCGTATGTCATTCATTAAAATGGCAATCTTTGCGTTATACAGTTTTCACAGGATTTCCCATTATAAAAGGCTATAGTTATCATTTTCATTAAAGAAAATAATGCTTTTCATTGATTAATTTTGTCTTAACAATTAATGTAAAAGCTCACGTGAGTACATGTGAGTACTATGAGTATATGTGAGTACATGTGAGTACTGTGAGTATATGTGAGTACATGTGAGTACTGTGAGTATATGTGAGTACATGTAAGTACATGAAACTCATTGCTTTCCAGTGCTCCATCTAGTGTATACTATACCTGTGGAGCATTGCAAACGTTCTATATGGAACGTTTCACTACATGAGTTGTTGGTCCATTTTCTGTGTGTAACTGAGCTAAGGCAGAACTATTGATTTACAGCAATCAGGATATGCTGTTTCCCAATTGTCAGGCAGAACCGCTGTAGATGTTTTGCCTGAGTAGAAAATTTGCCTCTATGGGAGTTGTCAAAAACTGGCTTATATTATTTAAAATATGGAACAATAAGGATGGCTCATCGCTATAGAAACTGTAAATACCATTTGGTTTGGGGCAAACATATTACATTAATAAGAGAGGAAACAGCTTGCCTCGTTTAATTCACTCTAGATTTTTTTTAGCTCTTCTACATGTTTAATAATTTATTCCTTCTTCAATTATTTACAATTTCATTCATTTTTAATTCATTTCAGCCTTTGAGCAATCAAATATGCTGTTTATTCTGATTTACTGGTTGCAGCTTTGCAAAATGCATATATACTGTAGGTGCAACAATGTATAGGTTTGTGCTATACTTATTAACCTATCAGTACATATTTGTTGGTACTATGAATGCTATTTCAAAAATATGAAATGTTCTGGTAAATTGCAAGATAAGCTTTTCCTCATAAAACATGCATGTCAGTTAGTAGCAAGCTATTCTGTAAGTGTTTTTGGATTAAAATAACAGATTTTAAACATCCTTGAGTCATACTAGGTAAGTACTGTAAAGGGCTAATTGAACCATGAAACTGCACAAGAAAGGTTACTTGTAAACATTCAGTAGAGCTGTTAGCTTTCTGGAGGATGCCTTGCATTCTTTCCCTGTACCAAGGAAATGGCTGTGCAGGAAATCATTCGGAGATAGCACATTTCACATAGATCTACACTGCTCAACATGTGACGGGGAATAATAGTCTGGAAAGCAGTTAAGTGCAAACTGATATAACTAAGCTTCAAGAGAAGGGATATGAAGTGGAAGTTACTATCTATGAAGAAGATTCAAGTAATACAAACTCGATCAGCAGTGTATGAGGGCTATTTAATTCCTCAGCCTAAAGTAGAATGATTGAACTTCAAGGCTGTGTGTGTGAGACATTGTTGTGAGCAAACGGATTGGCTTTGAGACATCCTCCTGACATGAAAGATTATATCAAATGCAAGGATTATTATTATTAATAGTTATTTTTACGCTTTTCAGGTTTAATCAAATTCCAGTTTTATTTTCAAAGTTGTGGTTAGTTTCCTCCAGAAATATGTCTATAAAACCATTTGCATCCTGTGTCAAATATTTAGCATGTTTTGCCTATTAATGTATAGTAAAAATGCATTTCCTTGTTTTTAGAATGACTAACCATTGCTATAAAGAACAGAGTAAGTTAAAGTGCTTGCTCTTAATGTCAGATACATCTTTCTCAACATTTTCATTGCTTTTGTAGGTGGATGAATCGACTGGGATTAGCAGCTATTGGATATGCACCTGATGATAAGGTGACCAGGCCGGATGAAGGTGAGCCAGAAGGTATCTCACACAGGAGTAATGATGTGTGTAGGATAAAAGAAAATGTATCTATAATTCCAATTTCTGGTTGAAATGAACAGAATAGCAATCAATAAATACTGTAATTAAAAGGAATATATTTTAGAGGGAGGGTTAGAAGTAATTGTTCTGGAATGGAGGGCGTAGGAGAGTGGAGTTGCTGCTACAGTTAGTGTTGTGCAATATTGTCAAGAGTCAAGCACAATGAATAAATAATGCAGAGAATGGCTCCTAGGTTAGCACTGACCTATTCCTCTACTTTGCCAGAAGTGTTTGGCAAGTCTGGCTCTGTGTTTAGCCAACCTACACACTACATCCAACAGCAGGGATCTGGATAGGGAACAAGGCTAGGATTGTTACTCATTCAACCTCTCTCTAGCCTGAACACCGATACCTAATATCTTTCTGACACATGCAGAAACTCATCACCATACTTATGAGTATCCAACCGATTCAGACTTCCACATATGTATGCCACTTACCCACAGAAATGTCCTTGTATCTGGAATGGAATGTGCATTCTCTCCATGGAGGCACTTACAAATGGAATGATACTGATCTGCTGGTGACAAATATTTTATAAGATATCCTTTTGTCTTTAGGCTATTAACAAAACACTATATTGCTGCTATAGTTAATTGTGGTTTGCAAACACATGAATTAGTCTGCGATCATCCTTCCCAGTGGAAGAATTGTTTTTTCATGAGATACAAAAACACAAACTGTACAAGACATGATTGTGCTTTAGTTAGTGGACAGTTGTTGACTTGAAAGAGTTTTGAAGTAATTATAGTTGAAGATTGTTGGATACACAGAATGTAAAACTACAGTGATGTCCCTAACAATATTCATCCTCTATGTAGCATCAGCTAGTATATTTCCCCAGGCAAGAAAAGAATCAAAGCTATTTTGCACAAGACTTGGTGAGAATGTGCATCTATTCTAACCAGCAACGACAAACTAAATACTCTTGGGCATATCCCTGCCTAATCCTCCCTAATAAAATAAGCTACTTAAAAGGGGAACTGAAATCCAATGGTGAAGCCATTCCTTTCAACACTATCTTTTTAGTCCATTTAATTAATGCACCGATCTACGTAGGAAACTTGGGTTGCCAAGATACTTTAGCTGCTTGGAATAAGGAATCAATCTTATCCTCACATTTCCTCACATCCACAGTCTTATTCACATTTACCAGATGAAGTTGATGGGATAAGGGGAGTACACAGAATGTTTGATCCTCAAATAGATAATTCACTATTTTGCACATAATTCCAAGGAAAAACTATGCCACATCTCTGTCGATCTAATTAAGTGTGTGCACTTTGTTGTAAGCCAGAGGAATGCAGATTGGAGTCTTTACCATTAATTAGGTAGAGAGTGTGTAATATAGTCAAAGGGAATGGCTTCACCAAAAAGCTTCATTTCCAGCAAAATATTGTGACATTACTTGCATCTGATATAGCCCCTAATCATGCATTTGATATAGTTTTTTCTGTAAGCTGCAATGACTGTATATCTATAGATGAACAATATCCAATTTGCACACAACAATGTCCCATCAACAGCCATGAAGTAAATTACCATTTTTTTTTAAATCTGGGAAGTGTCATTGGCCAGGATACCAGGGGAAAATTCCTTCTCTTTTCAAGTAGTGCCTTGGGATCTGAGATTCTTGCTGTGGAAGATGATGGAAATTTCATTGAGAATATGTTTTCTTAAACAGTAGTTATTCACAGGATGACCACCAAGATGGTTTAGGTTAGTAAAATAATGAGGATGAAAAGTTGAACAATTCACCCCCATCCCCCCATGAAGTTTTTTTCACATATTCATTAGTAATATTAGTTACAGAAATTTCAAACAACTGTGTCTACCAGTATCAGCAAAAAATGTATTGGACTGCAGGCAAATGTAATGATTATGCATGAGGAATTATATAACCAGCTACAATCTCCAGCAGGTACTGGTATCCCCATGTGTTCAATGTGCCCAGAAGAAGCTTTCTAATCTCTTGAATTTAAAGGGCAACTAAACCACAACTGTGTGTGGGCAGAATGGTCACTTAGCATTTAAGTCACTTATTCCACCAACTGGATAATGCTGCTGATACTGCAAACTGCATTCTGTTCATCAAGGTTTATGAAAACTAGGTCAACATTTTTCTGGCCTCTTATGATAATTGATAATTCTATGGACATGTCTTTTCTGCTATAAACGACTGCCATTGCTGAATTTCTAGGAAAATAGGTGTTTTTTTAAAAAAATTGAAGATGCAATCTGTAACATTCCATTTATTTCTACCCTAAGGACAATTTTATTCTGCAACAAATTCCTGGAGCAAATAAGATGTTTCAAAACATAATTTGATTGGATTAAAACATATAATATTTCGCGTCAACAAGTATTGAATGTAAAACCATCTCCAGTAGCAGGAAACTTCAGTCTTCCTCCACATTGTTACCACATAGCAAGAGAGTGAACAAGTGTTGACCTAATTTCAACACTAAGACTGCACGTATGCAGCTTCCAGGGTCTGCAGAATCACTCAGTTGGACACTGACAAACAGTAACAATATTACTTTTCAGTTTGTGGACAAGGTACAGTTCAGGGATTATTTAGCTGCAGTTAACGAATACGAAAGTCAAAAGATGTTGCTGGATAACATAATTGAATTCACAGCAGGAAAAAAACACTTTGAATGAAACATAATTATTTACACAAGAGACTGTCTTGAGATCCTGAATTATATTTGATTGACACATGCATAGGCACAATCCGATTTACAATGCCTTTCACATCAGGCGGACGTCTCAAAGCTTGGCACTGCGGGTTGGACACCTGAACTGGGATGGGAGTCAAGGAGGGTGGGAAGGTAAAGATGATTGGAAGCACGGTCAGAAGGAAGGGAATGAGTCAGAGGAACTCCAAGATAGAGTTCCAGAGAGTGAGGCTAGAATGGCTGAAAGTCTGCACGCCAAATGTGGGTTAAAAATGGCAGGGGCCATGAAGCAGGCCAGTATTCGCTGAGCAAAGGGAGCATCCATGTTTGTACGGTTGAAGGAGATCACAGAGAATTCAAGAATTGTCAAGAATGTCAGATTTTGGGGGTTAATGGGTATCAGTTTTCTTGCCCTATTCCAAACACAAAGCACGTACATTGTAAAATTGCTTGAAGTAGCGCTGGAACCATTAAAATAAGAAATTCGGTTGCAACACTAATTAGATTGCTTCCCATTAGCAAACACTATTCATTGTTTAAATATTTATTATAAAAAAAATAGAGTACATAGGGGTAACTGAAAGAATAGTAAAGTGTTTTGTATCTTATATGTACGGGAGTTGCATTTTCTTTTTGAATATGCTGCCAAGTTGAAATGAATGCAGTCTCTCACAAAAAGCTCTAGATCCATAGCCATGGATGAGACATAATTGTTAATTTTTTTTTAAATGGCTTCAGACAGATATTTATTACGTAATGAATACTGAGAATTATGTTTATCTTTTCCAGATTACTGGAGTGAAAGTGATCAAGAGGATGCAGAGATGTCCTTAACTTTGAAGCAGGAGGGCCCTTCATCCCTATGTGATACATATCCCCGAACACCATCAGTAAGCATGTCTTGAAAATATTCTTGTAAAGAGCAATTTATTACTGGTATTTATTTTGGTTTCGGCAGAGGCTAATTGCTTTCTATACATTTCATTAGGTCAATTCTTCAAGTCCTTTCCCTGAACCCAAGCATGGACGGCATTTTTCAAGTGAGTCAACATATTCCCATTCATCCGCTGAGGATTCAAGGCACGACATGTCAGGAAGTACACATTCGTCTGGCTGTAGGTCATCGTACAGAGAGAGACGATCTTGGCAGGATCTGATTGAAACGCCTCTCACCAGTTCAGGGTTGCACTTCCTGCAGACTATCCCTCCAGAAACAGATTACATGGCTGGTAGATCAGGACTGATGTCACCTGAAAGAAGGCGGCAAGCAACATTGCCTGTTCAGAGACGTCACCACCATGACCGCGATGGGCCTTTTCCATTAGTGGAATGTGACAGAGGATCTGGATATCACAGTAGAGGATGCAAGCAGCGCAGCCAGAGCTTACCGAGGAATAGGGATGTTAGAATCAAAGGCCACACGCTGCCTCCCGGACCGTCTGAGGAAAAGTCAGAGGATGATGAGATCCAAGGTGTCAAACAAAATGGTGCAAGCAAACGAGGTCAGTTCACAAAGTTCACAAATATGTTATAATCAGAAGACGCTAAATCTTGATGGTTGGAAATACAGAATTTATTGTATGTTTGAGGAAGAGTTGGCCAAACCAGAAGAGAGCAAAAGAGGAACAGGATTTGTCCCATCTAGTCTTCCAACTTCCCAAAAGATTCCTTTCACATATCTATCTCATCTCGAATAACCCTGAATCAAAGATGCCAATCAATATTATCCAACTCTTTTTCGTTTATTGAATACATTATATATTCCATGAGTGCCTCCATTGAGTATTTTATTTATACAACACAAATATTTTAATAAATATATATTTTTCAATTATTATAAGTCGACAGATAGCTTACTAGCCCTAGAAGGTCACTTAAGCTGCCTCTGATATTTCTCCAAAAGAAAGTACCTTCAAAATTGCCTTGTGAGCTTGAAGTGTTAAATATTTAGGGGCCATCTTAGGCCAATAGGCAACATATGGCAGGGCCAAAGGGCTGGTTGAAGGTTTTGTTCCATGACTCAATATAAAGGGACAAAAAACACGTGTTGAATACTTATGTGTGTTGTTCGGTTGCTAGATGAATTGTGCACTGAAATTTTGGTATTTCTAGTGAGCCACAGAGATAACTCTTCATCCTAATTCTGCTTTGCTGTTTTCATATTTTCTAATGTTGAAGTCCAAGTCAAAATTCTGGTGAGGATTCATTTGCACAAGTGATCACATTTTTTTATATTATCTCATGTACCTGGAATACACTGTGTTCTGGGTTTGTAAGGTAATACAGTTATTGTGGTTATTTTTAGTGGTCATGTGTTGTGTAAAAATATTTCACCCTGTCCTTTTTTTAGAATGAAAAGCAGATGTGCATTTCTTTATCTTGGTGAATGACAACATTAGGATTAAGAAAATCTCCTTTGCGATGGGGAAAAAAAATCTTTGCTTACAGGAGAAACAATCTACAGATTAGCCACTCACTAAAGTTAAAATCTTGGGCAAGGGAGACACAAGGTCAAACTAGGCTATTCCCTTGTGCCTACACCATTCCTCCGCCCTTGCTTAGCGGCCAGGTATAGAGTAATATTGGTAGAAGACAATGAGGTCAGCTGCCTGCTCACAGTTGAGGAATGATGCAGGATGTGGAAAGCTCTAGAGAGAAGAAAATACAATAGTTTCACGTTGGAGATAAATATATTTTTTAAATTAAAACCAAGAGGACATATATTTTTATTATGGCTGCAGAATAAAAAAAACACAATATTATGGTGTATCGTCTTTGATGATTTAATAGCATAGGAATCCTTTCACCAGCATAAACAATAAAAATCTTCATTGTTCTGCTTGATGTGCTTATGTCTATTTATAGTTCTTTCTGAAGGATTCTCCTGTGACTGAGGACTGCAAGGCATTAGCTGAGCAACTTTGAATCACTGGAGAATACAAACGACTCATCACTATAAATGGAGAAAAACACATTGAATCTGATCCTGACCTTTTAATAAATAATTTATTTCCTGATCACTGTAAAAGCAGGCACAGCCAATCTTGGTGGGTCATTTTCATTTCGGCATAAGCCTGGAATATGTGATGTTCGTTCCCTTTCAAACAATACTGAGCCACTTAAATCTATTCATATTGTGACATGGTAAATTAGAGATTTCTGCTCAGTCTTTACAATAGGGATTCCATTATAAAGACATTGTGAAAAGATTATTATTCTTAGCAATTGGCCCAAATTAGACTCAGTTCTAAAATCTATTTGTGCAATAAGCAAGTAACTTAAATGACACTTTTGCAAAAGATTAGCAACAGATTTTACATTTTAAATATATTCATTCACGTTGCAATTCTGAAATTTGGTGTTAATTTAATATGCCGGTGATTGGTAGCCCAGTGGCACCAGCACATTGTCATGAGAATCCACGAAAACAAAATTTGGGCCACTCAATCCATGACTGTGTGTATGGAACACTGCTGTTCACAATTGCCTGCCAAGGTTTACCTACAAAATACACAGTCAATCCACTTTACAGTATATTCTGTGAAGCGCTTTGAAACGTCTCAATGGCGTGATAAGGTACTATATCAAATGCAAGGATTATTATTATTATGAGCGCTGGAGTTCATTCTACAGTGCTGACTTCAGAGTTTTCTTTTAGCACTTCGCCACAGTGGGGAAGAGTATTCTCTCTGCTGTGATTAGGTCATCAGTACAACACAGTTTGCCCCACCGTGTCTCATATTTTTGACAAGAACTTCCAGTAGTAGGATATTAATGTTCCAATATAAGTATTTCAGTAAATTCAATGAGCTGAGGCAGAACTTTATTTAAATCATTTCTGACAACAGGCTATCGGGACCATGGGCTATAAAGCATAAAACTGTTTTCTCCCACAAAATAAAAACATTAATTACAAAATTCATTTGCACATCCCATAAAGTGTTAGTCCTGGAAACAAATCATAATTTTATTTCTAATCGTTAGAGAGATATTACCGAGTTTGCTGAAGTTACTTTTTCATGTTACTTTTTCATGTTCACCATAGTCTATTTTTCAGCTAATTGATTTTCTAAATTATAAATGAAAACTCCATTTTTAATTGTATTTTACAAGATTGATTTATCACTGGTTGGATTTCTAGTTATTATAATTTCTATCATTGAGGAAATCCACCTTTGGCTTGACTGAATTCTTCTGCAAGAGCAAATGCTAGCAGTAATATTCAGTGAATGGATAAAAGATAAAATGCGATAGTCATGAAGGAGAACAGAATAAAGGATAATGGGGAGAGGCTAGAGAAAGGGATTAGGATGGGTGAAGGCTCATGTGGAGTATAAACACTGGCACGGACTAGTTGGGCTGAATGGCCTGTTTGGTGCTGTACAGTCTATGTAATTCTGTGTAATTCTGTGTGATATGTAATTCTGTGTAATTCTATGTAATTTAGTTAATCAGTCATTAAACAACTACTGCTGTAGTCAATTAAAGATTTGATGGTTGGGCAGTGGAAAAATAAGTGTTGCCCCTCTTACTTTAAAAAAATCCGTGTTCCCTGTTTCAGGCCGATCAGCAAGGCCACAGTCTCATGACGTAAATAATGTAATCTCGTAAGATTACATTGTTTATGTCTGAAAACAGTGGAAACAGCACAAGAATGGAGAATTTATAAGGTAAGAGGGAGCAGTGACTGATTAATAATTGTTAAATTCTCGGGCGGGTTTTGACCTTAGTGCACATGTCATACATTTCATAAAAGGTAACGCTTCATCCATCCATTTGAATTTGCTTTGCAATCCATAGATTTGGCTGAATTTCAATTTTTCACCTTTTTTTTCTAACTGTATCACAGTAATCTAGAACGTGTCTTGTATAGAATACTCCGTATTGAATGCCTTGTAAATGTAAATATCCAATATTTAAAATGTTGTGAATAATTTGGTCACTGTGTACTGTTTAAAATCCATTATGGCCATCCCATATCAACTTTTGTTTTATTATTAGTTAAATTGATTGTCCTGACTATTGTCAGTGCAGGATAATTACTTTTAATGAGTTGTTTATCACATTTTAATATTTCTTTAGCTTTTAATTGATGTCTATTTTGGGTAACAATAAGTAGATATACCCACATGCACCTGCAGCAATCAGTTTGATGAATGATGTTATATATCAAATCTTCCATGCAACAGTCCTGCCGATAATGGCACTTTCACTTAGCCTCATGCATGCAATTCATTAAGTACTGAGCACTCAGCAGCATGAAAGAGAAATTTTGGTCTTTTCTGACAGACAGTTGGCGATTCTGTTTCTCTGCAAATTGATGACTATTGACGACTGCAAGTTTATTGTACACTGTTTTCCAGCCTTGTTTAGCACTGTTGACATCAGTTTGTCAATTCTCCTTTTCAGTGTTCTTTTTTAAAAGAGTCAACTTAGTCAGGAAAAAAAAGATAATGTTAAATATTGTTATAATATATATTAATTTTGATTCTATATTTATTATCTTTTAAATGTTCTATCCTTCTATGAACTAAATGGAATATAACATATTAATATTATTCAGCAGCTTTATTCAGCATACTCTGTTATATAAAACATCTCCATAAGTACTTGAATATTGATATTGTTGAGTTATTTAAATTAAAGCTACAGTATTCAGAAACTGAATGTTTCAAAGATCTTTGCTTTTTACATGAATCCACTTACTGTATCATTAACATACTAACCAGACAAGTTCATACCCACACTCAGCAAGCCTTACCTTTTTGTAATAATCTACTTGCTCAGAAAGCTTTATAAGCAAATCACAAAATAAGGTTATTTGTTTTTAAATGTAATACGAAGACCAAACATCTGATTTAGGTGGGGGAACATTCAAGAACTCAAATGGTTTTAACGTTTCTTTCCAGAAAACACAATAGAAAACAGACATTCTACAGATGGTCTTCAGGAGTTGTACAAGTCCCTGGAGCAGGCCAGTCTCTCTGCAATAGGAGAGCAGCGTCCTTCCACTAAGCAAGAATTCAGAAGGTCATTTATAAAAAGATGTAATGATCCAGTCATCAATGAAAAATTACACCACATTAGGGTGCTTAAGAGTACTCTAAAGGTAAGGGTTCTCCATTGAAAATATTTACCTGATGAATAAGACATTGAATTATCTAAAATATATTAAAATGCAGTTCACCTTAACAGATGGTTATAACAAAAAGCAAACATCTACTGGGATCTTGTTTTAAAAATCCACCTTTTATAATTTTCCCCCTGGACTCCTCCATCTTGACCATAGGAATGGAACTCGCTGGAGAATTAACATACAACCCACTTCCAAGCTTCATTACCACTCTATAACTGGCTGTTACAACCGTATAAGCCACCAAAGGATGATTCCCTTATGATGTGTCATCCTTGTTAGGGAGATTCACTTTTCCCACAGGATTCAAAATCTGTCTTGTGGGAAAAGTGCAGGATGATACTTACACTGTAATGTGATCTTATATTGATATTTTTCTGTTTTCTAAGCAAATTATTTAGCATATTTTGGGGTTCAAAAAACAGCATAAAGCACAATTTTAAAAGTGGGAAGAGTAAGAAGAAAAGTCAAATAAAACTTTATCCGTTGGGTGGACTTATTAAAAGAAGTTACCAGACCATTGATGTGAACAGTATAAATTGGTTCAAAAGGCAATTAGATGACGATCCAGAGAGAGAAGGGATTAAGGGATATGGTGAAACGGCAGGTGGATAGAATTGAAATCAATCAAAAAGAAACTGTCTTGTGCCAAATTAATTTTTCCTGTTACTAAAATGTCTTATATTTTAATGCACCTGGGAGCAGATTTTGTGGGGTAAGGCAGTTTTAAAGAATGGCACATGTTCCACACAGTGATCAGTGACAGCAGCAAATCTTCACATGCTTCACATAGAAGAATAAAGGACTTGGCATTTCTAGAACTGAGTTGTGCAATGCATCACTGTCCAACAATACATTCTAATCCTGTAGCCTGTGAGTAGAGACATCTCCACTCTATTCTCCCAACCACCTCCCTCTGTACAAGATTATGCAGTACTTATAACCAGTTTCGCACCTCTTGGAACTGACACTGTAGAACGTGTACAATTTAATGTTTGGATTCATGTCACCTTGACCTGGTTTGAGATTACTGGAACATTCTTGAATCATTTCATTTAATTCTTATCAGTAAGGAAATATAGTTTGTGATATCTCCTTTGTGTTTATTTTAGTATTTATCTTCAGAGGTAGGAGAAAATCAATAAGGCCAGTGCTTTTAACCAAGTGAGCCACCTAGTGTTCGTATGCAATAACTAACAAAAATGATAATAAAAGAGGAAAAGGGAGCAAGAAAATGCACACAGCCAGTAAGGAGTTCACAAAAAAAAACTGTAGGAAGCATGTTCATCAAACAGTGAATTATCAATAGTGAATTTGGCCCCCAAAATACATAGTATATTCTGTGAAGCACTTTGAGACGTCTTGATGACGCGATAAGGCGTTATATCAAATGTAAGGATTATTATTTTATTATAAATGTAATATCATTTGAGACATCCAAAGAGAGATTAGGCAAGTGAAGTATAATAATTCAAACATTAAATTTCTGTGAACTATTCTAGGATTTTAAATGCTTTTTACATTTACTTATATTTCAATGCAGTAATATGTTTAAAATAATAGGTAAAGCTTTGCTTGTTTTTGTTTGACTTTAGATAACTCTTTTAAACCTAAATAAATAAACATATCTTGAGGTATTTTGAAAAGGATTAACCTAGCATCAGCTCTGATAGCTCCTGGTCAGGTATAGTGGCTAATGCAATAGTGAGCTTGTCCATTTATCATGCAGTACATAAGAGACCTAGGCACTGTATGTGTGTTACATACAGATTCCCAATGAAAGGAGCTGTTCTTCCTTTCTTCCAGGAGATTCAGTAAGTAGGTACTGTGGGAGGAGTGGGATTGGTAAGCACAATGGATATTTCTCGTTGCATAGCTTCCTGTGCTTCAGGAACACTTGTAGGACTTCATGTACTTGTAAAATTGGAAGCATTGTTTGTTTTAAATGTTATCTAGATAAATATGTAGAGAAAAAAATCACTTAAAACATGCTTTCCTTGTGTATAACCCAGCATGTGATAATAATAATCCTTGCATTTGGTATAGCATCTGTGACGTCAAGGGTATAACTCAAAATGCTTCACAGGGTTTACTGTAGAGTGTAATGACTATTTTGTATTTAGTGATCGGTCTCTTTTATAGAATGTTTGTATGGCATGACAGTATTGATCTGGTCCAACCCCTTTGGGTTTTATTTGATGATCCTCATTAGAAGTTCTGTATTTATAGGTACACCTAAGATCCTTTTATTATCATTTTGATTTCCTTATAAAAAAAATCCTGAAGGCTTCCAAATATTCAAACTGGTGCTACTTGTAGAATTTTCACATTGTAACTTGGAGATAGGGCTGGACACACTGTCCGATGATCATAGGTCATCTGTAGGAACTAACCTTTTTATTGTACATCTTTGTTGCAAATATTTTTTTCTCCCTCTCAGGCAAAAGAAGGGGACCTGGCAATTATTAACCAGATTCTTGAAGATCCAAGGCTGACATCTAAAAAGTTTAAGGAGTGGAAGAGAATGAATCATGAGTTTTTCTTGGACATTTGTGGATATAGTGCTGTTATGAAACCACAGAACGGTGCATCTGAACTGGGATCACCATCACCTCTTCTGGCACATACACACTCATTCATTGAAACACACGTGTGAAGCAGTTTGCAACTGGAGCACACATCCCAGCAGACAGCAGCATCTCAACTGTAATTCTCATCAGGCAACAAAAAAATGTTTAGCATACACTGTATATTTGTACATAATGTATTCAACAGTATTCTTGTACATAAATTGGATAAAAAAATAGTGCCACAGGATGCCTAATATGTGCATGAGATAAAGTCTGTATTCTGTTCTTTCAACAATCTTTTATTTTCTGTTGTCAAACACTGTGTGCTTTAAAATCTTGCATTTGAAAAGAGAGGCAGTGCAGAAGATAGTATTTATGAAGATATAAGTACACACATACTGTATATGTTGTACTAAAAAGCTAAGCTTTTAGTCAACAGCAGCCACATGGTCCAATGTTTTTATATTTATGACTGCCTAAATTAATTCACCCTGCCATCACATCTAATGGATTACAGGTAGAGAGTAGCTAAAGTGATTGGTAGCCAACTCTGATTAACAAGAGCGAATGTCTTAATTTACTCACCGTTCTAGAAAAACATTCATTTTTATGTAACAACAACAAATTGCATTTATATAGCGCCTTTCACGTCGGGAGGACATCACAATGTAAGCATTGAACATACAAACAAACTGCTGAATGTATGTAAAGTATGTAAAGTTTTGCTAGTGTATCACTGAATGAACAAAAGTAATTTTTGATGTCCTTTGAAAACAACCAGCTTTTATTAAAATTATAGCTAAAAGCTGTTTATTGAAAACTACTGAGAATATACAAGTATTAATATTTATATGACTCCCTCCTCACAATTTTTTTATACGGTTGCTTGTTAAAGAGAAGACATTAATTGAAAAGCTCATATACCCAGTGCCCAGGAGTTGACGGATCCAGTAATGACACGTTCAGGATGATTCTCCAGAATGATGGGTCCACTTCAAACTTCAAATGAAAGACCATTATTAATAATGGCTTGAAAGCTTATCCTGGTTCCCAGGGTAATTGTTCTAACTATATGCAAGTAGACAGAAGACTTGTTAGACCACACTGTACCTTTAAAAAAACACGATAGTTAAACTTATCTTAATCCATTATTCTGTTGCCATTTATGATCTCTATTGCTTGCACTTTACCTGCACCATTAAACTGTAGGCTGCAGCGGTGGAGGGTGTACTGAAACTGTGATGATACCCATCGGGGTCACTTAATGTCAACCGACTTCCTTATCAGTGTTTAGAAACCTCTTTGAGTCTTTTTTATCATGCATATTGAGAATGTATATTTAGTATGAGTTTTCTTTCAAAATTAATGAAAAATGTATATCGGTTACTGACTGCATTTATCTCACCTTTTTGCTTTTTGTGACTACAACCGTAAGATTTTTGGCATATATGTTTTCATTGTATGTTTCTCACTGGGTGTATACCTCATGGTACATTGCACAGATGTATGAGTTGTATGTTGCACCGCAACAATAAAAAGAAACAATTTACTCTTTTTTTTGCAATTATATGGTTAAATATTAACATGCAATCTGTACATCACTAAAAGCAGCAATTATTCTTCATAATTAAAAAGCTCGCCTTTTTTGAACAAGCTGTAAATCTGAGTTGTGAAACTTTTAACTTCATTAAATTAAACTCTCCGTGATACAGTATCTTCTTTGACTATTTTAATATCCCTGCCACAGAGGTAGTATTCATTTTTGTCTGCTTTGTTTAATATTCAAATTATATTTAAACAAAACCCCTGACATAATTGAAGATTTCTTTTCTGATGGGTAGACCATGTGAAAAAAAAATCAGTTTCACCAATCATTGTTATTAAACAAATTCCAAAGAATGAATGGGCTTTTTATTAATTTATGTAATCATATTTTGGATTGAGATAGCCGTTAACTGGTAACCTCTGTACGAGCAAATTACACAAATCCCAGTTTGTTCCAATTTAGTCACAATTGGTATATTCTTGTCATTCCTATCATAGGCAAGATACTTCTTTTTAGCTGGGAAAAGAGAGGTCTGATCCAACCTTTTGCATCTGATGTAATTCAGACTATAGTAAAAAGGCACAAAATCAACCTTTCATTTTACTTTAGCCTTTGGGGAAAATGCAATGGTGTTTCCATAAATTTAGTTTGAATGGTGGAAAGTTATATTCCCCTTACAACTCTGTAATTAAATTCCACATGATTTCTGCAGTGCAGCTGCCATTTCATTGACTAAATTTAGCAGAACTTACTCTGAGTACACAGCAGACAAAAAGGAATATAAAAATTCAGCAGTTTCGGAAAAGAAAAAAGATACTTTCTCTTTTTATGATAAGTTTAAAAAGTAGTAATCCTTGTTAGGAGTTGAAAATCAATGAACAAGTTATTGTTTTTATCTCATATTTTATATATATATTACATACGCTGGTATTTTACTTAAACAAGATATTAATATTTTGCCCCACACATATTAACAATGTGTGTATATGCAGGTCTTTCTACTTGTCTTTCATATTAAAATGGACAAAAAGTGAAATGTCCTTTTTATGGTCTGTGGGGATAATTAAATAGATTCTCAAAAGGCTGTATTAGATGAATACAATTGGATACAATACAATTAATGGATTGGAAGAAAAAAGTTATGCCAGTGACTTCATTGAGTCAATGGATTAAATGAATATTACAACCCTGTAATATATAGAAACTATTGAAACTACTAGCCACATTTGCCACTATACTTTCACTTATAACCGATGGAAAATAGGAATAATAAATTAGAATGATTTAGAAAAACAAGCAATATGCGTGTTGGAGCAAATGGTCTCTTTTCTGAACATTTCTATAACTACAAGAAGACAAGACATGTTGTTCAAAGGATCTCATAACCCATAATAATAACATTCCATTCATTCTATAAATTTACAAAGTCATAAAACCCGCGAGTTTCACACTGATTTCCAATCCTTTATTTACATTGGTTACTTTAGAAAATACAAACAAGATCCTCTATTCTTACTATGTGTTTACACCAGGCCCACAACGTATAGACCTTTACAAGGAACAAGTCATGCATTATGGTTTTTAAATGTGATTTACATTAAGGTATTTGAAAGCGCACTTAAAAAAAAAGTCTGTCACTTTTCACGATAACAGTATCCTTCTAACAGATCTGCTAAAATCAATATTTATTATGATCTGTATCTGCAAATGAGATGGAAACATAAGAATGTTTACAATTTGTTATAGTGTCCATAACATCAAAAACATCTCAAAGCCTTTCAGAGGTAATCGCTGGTAATGTGCGTTTACTGTTCTTTGGTTACACTCGTGTAATAATAATCCTTGCATTTGATACAGCAGCTTATCAGGTGCTTATCAAGTCCTGGGTTCAATTCCCAGCGAGGGCAAAACCAACCTTGAACCAAGTTGCCTTACCCGCCTGATCATCAGCCCTCAAGAAAAAAATACATGAATAAAATTGGCCGCTTCAATCCAGGACTGTAGGTGGTGTGGGACACTGCTGTGTGAGCCTCCGCTGCCCCACACAGAGTGGCTGAGCCCAGTGTGAGAGCTGCTGTGGGAGCCTCCGCTGCCCCACACAGAGTGGCTGAGCCCAGTGTGAGAGCTGCTGTGGGAGCCTCCACTGCCCACAGAGTGACTGAGCCCAGTGTGAGAGCAGCTGTGGGAGCCTCCACTGCCCACAGAGTGACTGAGCCCAGTGTGAGAGCTGCTGTGGGAGCCTCCACTGTCCACAGAGTGGCTGAGCCCAGTGTTAGAGCTGCTGTGGGAGCCTCCGCTGCCCCACACAGAGTGACTGAGCCCAATGTGAGAGCTGCTGTGGGAGCCTCCACTGCCCACAGAGTGACTGAGCCCAGTGTTAGAGCTGCTGTGGGAGCCTCCACTGCCCACAGAGTGACTGAGCCCAGTGTTAGAGCTGCTGTGGGAGCCTCCACTGCCCACAGAGTGACTGAGCCCAGTGTGAGAGCTGCTGTGGGAACCTCCACTGCCCACACACAGTGACTGAGCCCAGTGTGAGAGCTGCTGTGGGAGCCTCCACTGCCCCACACAGAGTGGCTGAGCCCAGTGTGAGAGCTGCTGTGGGAGCCTCCACTGCCCCACACAGAGTGGCTGAGCCCAGTGTGAGAGCTGCTGTGGGAGCCTCCACTGCCCACAGAGTGGCTGAGCCCAGTGTTAGAGCTGCTGTGGGAGCCTCCACTGCCCACAGAGTGACTGAGCCCAGTGTGAGAGCTGCTGTGGGAGCCTCCACTGCCCCACACAGAGTGGCTGAGCCCAGTGTGAGAGCTGCTGTGGGAGCCTCCACTGCCCACAGAGTGGCTGAGCCCAGTGTTAGAGCTGCTGTGGGAGCCTCCACTGCCCACAGAGTGACTGAGCCCAGTGTGAGAGCTGCTGTGGGAGCCTCCACTGCCCCACACAGAGTGGCTGAGCCCAGTGTGAGAGCTGCTGTGAGAGCCTCCACTGCCCCACACAGAGTGACTGAGCCCAGTGTGAGAGCTGCTGTGGGAGCCTCCACTGTCCCACACAGAGTGGCAGAGCCCAGTGTGAGAGCTGCTGTGAGAGCCTCCACTGCCCACAGAGTGGCTGAGCCCAGTGTGAGAGCTGCTGTGGGAGCCTCCACTGCCCACAGAGTGACTGAGCCCAATGTGAGAGCTGCTGTGGGAGCCTCCACTGTCCCACACAGAGTGGCAGAGCCCAGTGTGAGAGCTGCTGTGGGAGCCTCCACTGCCCACAGAGTGACTGAGCCCAGTGTTAGAGCTGCTGTGGGAGCCTCCACTGCCCACAGAGTGACTGAGCCCAGTGTTAGAGCTGCTGTGGGAGCCTCCACTGCCCACAGAGTGACTGAGCCCAGTGTGAGAGCTGCTGTAGGAGCCTCCACTGCCCCACACAGAGTGACTGAGCCCAGTGTGAGAGCTGCTGTGTGAGCCTCCACTGCCCCACACAGAGTGACTGAGCCCAGTGTGAGAGCTGCTGTGTGAGCCTCCACTGCCCCACACAGAGTGGCTGAGCCCAGTGTGAGAGCTGTTGGCTGAGCTCTGAGAGCCTCCACTGCCCCACACGCAGTGTTGACTGGTGGGGCTGCAGTACCGGGCCGGCCCGCTGCGGGGCGGTGTGGAGCTGAGCTGAGCTGTGCTGTGCGCAGGCTCGCGGGGTGACGCCGCTGCCGTCGCTATGGCTGCTCAGGTCAGAGGCTCCTCGTTACCGTGGGATCGGGGCCGCGGACACCGATACCGCGCGGGTGCTCGGGGTGCGGAGGGGGTTTGTGGCTGCCGGGGCCGGGGGTGTTGGGCCGTGCGGAGCGGAGGCTCGCAGCCGGAATCAGGCTCAGGATAAGAGGAGGATCTCCCTCAGGGACAAGTGCGAGGCTGAGGCCCTGTCTGACATTGACAGCGGCCCCCAGTCCCCGGCCCCCAGCCCTCAGTCTCCGGCCCTCAGCCCTCAGTCTCCGGCCCTCAGCCCTCAGTCCCCGGCCCCCAGCCCTCAGTCCCCGGCCCTCAGCCCTCAGCCCCCGGCCCTCGGCCCCCAGCCCTCGGCCCTGACACTGAGGGGCAGAGGGGAGGAGGGAGAGGAGCTTCCATGACAGTTGGTGACAGTTTGTCGGTGATGGAGTCAGTGACCTGACGGCCGGGCCGCTCCTGCACAGTTCACGTCAGGTTCTAACGGTCTCAGCTGAGGTTCGACTTGTCCTAAAAACTCATTTGAGACCTCCCCTCCCCCCCACACCCACACACATTGAGGAGGTTGTGTCTCCCCCCCCCTCCCCCCACACACACACATTGAGGAGGTTGTGTCTCCCCCCCCCCACACACACATTGAGGAGGTTGTGTCTCCCCCCCCCCCTCCCCCCACACACACACATTGAGGAGGTTGTGTCTCCCCCCCCCCCCACACACACACACATTGAGGAGGTTGTGTCTCCCCCCCCCCCCCACAGACACACACACACACACATTGAGGAGGTTGTCACTCCACCCTCTCCCCCCACACACACATTGAGGAGGTTGTGTCTCCCCCCCCCCCCACACACACACACACATTGAGGAGGTTGTGTCTCCCCCCACACACACACATCGAGGAGGTTGTGTCTCCCTCCCCCCCCACACACACACACATCGAGGAGGTTGTGTCTCCCTCCCCCCCCACACACACACACACATTGAGGAGGTTGTGTCTGTCTCCCCCCCCCCCCCCCCCCCCACACACACACACACTTTAAAGCGGTTGCCTGGTCCTCTCCACTTTGGCTTTTCCCCTTCGCTGCATTCTATCCACTGGAACACCTCTGACATTTCTAATGCTGAAGAGACAGCTGTTAGTTTTTTTTTGTGTCATATTACAAATGTTGCTGAGCGGATTAATGAAATCCTCCTGGATATTAAATAGACAACAATGAGCGTCTGCCAATGGTATGTCCCTGTAATCCCATCAAGGAGCCTTGGTATATGACTTTCATCCTGATCCCCGCGAAGATTAGATTACAGACGTCATAGCTCTCCTTGGTATTTGCTGCCTTTTGTTTTGGGTGCTTGCCTTTAACTTGGTATAATTTTATTCAACTTGTTCTCCCAACAAAGCTATCTTTGCTGGTGCACCATTGCTGTGTGCTGATCTTTATATTGGATGGTTGTACTGTAAATATGCTAAGGCTAGGGTATTGCTAGATTCAATGAGATACATGAATGTTTTTACTACAGAGAACTTATTGGAGAAACCTTTCTAACTTTAGGTGGGTTTACTAAATACACATAGAGTATAACTACAAACATAATTCTTACTTTATTGTCCACTGAGCGGTTTAGTTTAGATTTTTTGTGTTAAAAATTGAATCCAGAAAATATTGGCAAGAAAAATATGAACAAATTACTTGTTTTTTGGCATATCATGTAATATTTCTCTAGATTATTATTTGCGAATGTGTGAAAAGGGTTTATTTTTTCAGAAATAGCCTTTCACAGCTATGTCAGTATTGTTGTTGAGCTTCCTTTCATTTTGAAGTGTCTCTATAGCTGGCCTTGAACACATTTTAAAATGGCATGTTTGAGATTAAATGATTATATAGCGTTGTTTCGTTATTGGAAGTAATTTTTAGACTTGACAAATAAGCAAATTGTGGGAATAATAGGTAAATTGAGAATGGTGTCATAGGTTTAAAAACAAGCTCTCTGCAGCTTTGAGTGAGCACTGCAAATATTCACTGCTTGCAAACATTTACCCTTTCTGAAAAAGTAAACAAGGAATCATCGTTCCAAAAAGATCAGAACCAGCTTACATGTTCAGGGATTTCTCCACAATTAAAAGGTCAAGGGCGGATATAATGGATGGTTGACATTAAAAATTTACCAGTGACTATTTCTTAGACTTCTCATCAGATTTTAATAATCGAAAACTCTGCTGATGGAAACTAATGAGCATTAAATAATTCCACGATGGTTCCCAAAGCCATGTCCACAATATTACAATAACTTCAGTATAAAAAATAACAGACATAATCACTATGATCAGTAAACCTGAGCCAGCGTGTGTGGATAGGAGAGAGGATGTTAGGTAGGAGTAAAAGATCTCTGCATTTGAAGGAAGTGTATGCTTTATATATATTTGAGACCTATTTTATCTGACAATTAATACTTCTCCATAACAGTCTGCAGGAGTCTAATTCCAAATATGCTGTAATATTTTTTCCAAGTCCTCACTCTGATTTTTTTTTAAAAAAAGATCATTTTCGTCAAACGTGTATTGCACTTTCATTGGAAAAGTTTGACCATGGTCTCAAATAGTTCATCTTTACATAAAACATAAGCTTGAAGTATAAAGCCTCAGAATAAAATATTTGATTGGTGCTAAAAGTGGTGTTAAAAGATTAATTGGTAACATTAAGTGCAATGATCCTGTTCAGCGGTTTTAATAATAATCCTTGCATTTGATATAATAATAAATAGCAATCCTTGCCTTTGATACAGCGCCTTTTCACATCTGCGAGATTTCTTTCATTAAAAAAATTTAAACCGTTTTTTTAGAGTTTTCCCTCAAGTGAGTTTGGGAAAAGAAGAGCATTATAGTATTTCTATCTTCATAGTGAGCCATCATGTTTGGGAAAGATGCTAAACAATAGAGCCAGAGGAATTTGCTGGCATGCAAAAAGGAGATTCAGTATAAAGCTCCCCTCATGCCTCAATAGTTTAGCCAGTGTGTAGCTGAGTCATCCAAATTGTGTAGTCTGTCCCAGAGTTCATCATTATTATGTGCTGATTTAAGTTGATCTCAACTAGAACAATGGTAAGAGTAATGTAATCCATCTTAGTACCCTAAATTACATTGGGGAAAATCAGCTCATCTATTTTATTTACATATGTGGATATCAGGCAAGCAAGATCATAATCAAATTTGACAATATTGGATAGCTATCTGTCAAGGCGTATTTGAATAATGGACATTTGGGCGAAGTGGAACTTACCCATTGGAACAAAAGGTAGCCGAATAGCTTCAGAAAAGACAGGTGGAGAAAATTGGCGACTGGTTGGAGAGGAGAGAAAGTAAATACTGCATTGGGATGTGTGAAACAATTGTAGATACTTGTATGTGCTCGGGAGATGAAGGGCTGTTTTCTTTCATTAAAAAATGTAATCCTTCCTCAATCATCAAGTACAAGTAGTTTGTCTACAAATACAAGTAGTTGTATTTAATTAATTTAATAAAGTAAAAATTCTATGAAGCACTTTGAGGAATTTCAACACAATGGTAAGGCGTTTTGTTAGATGCAAGGATTATTAATAACACAGTAACAAAATTACCCAAGAGTTTCCCATCTGTGATTATAATCTTCACATCCATGAGAATATTCATGTGAAAGGAATTGGTTGAAATGAATTCAGGGACTTGGGTGCAAACAGGACAGTCCTAAAGATTTAAGAGCTTCTTACTCAATTCACCTAGAATTTTCTAATTTGAAATTGATTTGCTTCATTGTAAAAGTGGATCGTTGAAAATGTAGTGCAATATTTGTGTTGTCCCTTTAGACTTCCCAGTGGATTTATGTCAACGTGATACATTGAGGTTTAACCTTCTTCTAGAAAAGGTGACCTAGTTTGCAATAGAACTACTAGGAAGTAACTAAACTGGTTCGGATGCTACAGGAGAGGCAATGTTTTTGCTCATTCAGACAGTTCTGTGAGTGCCTGTTTCTGATTGGTTAAGGTGTGGGAGTATTTAACTATTTTTTAAAGGCTTCAGTTTTTTTGTTTAACCCATTACAATTCAAATTTATACAATGACTTTCATGTTGAGAAATTGGCCTAAGGTGCAGAGATCCCCTATTCTGAGAATACATCACACAAACTAAACTGGAAAAAATACAAATCATCCACTTGCAGAGGAGTTCTATAACAACAACAACAAAATTACATTTGTAAAGCGCCTTTCACGCCGGGAGGACGTCCCAAGGCGCTGAACAGTTGGGGATCAGGACCCGAGTGTGGGAGGGCGCAGGATTGAGATGAGGGAGTGCACAGAGGTAGGAGGGCATCAGTTAACAGGAAGAAAATGACAAATAATATTGTTACATTAAATATTTTGTTATATGTAAAGGGACAGTGAATGGTAAGATGAGAAACATTTTATCAATAAAATGAATAGAGATCTAAATAGAAAATGGGGATAATAGACACAAAGAGCTAAACTGCATTGTTTATTTAATTCTCTCAAATCTGCAGTAATAGTTCAATCGGAAATATGTGGGAGACTTGGTCACTCAGTGGTTTAGTAATTTTTTGTTCAGAGTTGAAATCCAGTCCATGATGATTTGGAGAAAGTCATTCTCACACCCTTCGATTGGTCATTTCATAGTATGTCCACACATATTGTAATCATGAATCATGATTATTCTTCAAAGGATTGTAATAATTTACTAATCTGTTTAATACAAGATATGTTTCAGGTCACACCATATTAAGAGAGGGCAAATGCTTTAGAAAAATAGATACCTTATTTTCATTGTAGCTTTACCACATCTGAATGTTTGGCCTGTTAAAACTGATATCAAAGTCAGAATTCCTTTCTCATTCCAAATCAATGATAAAGAATGACCTTGAATTACATTACATAGAATTATATTGAAAATAAACGTATCTTGGTCCTGGCTTTTCCAATTTGGCGTAGCCATTAAATGATCTCTAAAGTGCAGTTGTAGTTACTTGAAACCTCTTTCATTTAAATGTTGAAACATGCATAATGCGATAATCATATGAAAATAATTAAAAGAACAGGACATTAGTTCTGCACGGGAAAAGATTGTTATTGTTCAGTTAGAACACATAAACACAATATTACAACGTAGTGATACTCTTTTTAAAAAAAATATTATTGATTGAAAACAAAGTTTGAATGATTTAATTGCTCATCCGGCTAGTATGAGGCTTGGTAGTAGATGTTGAAAAATGAGTATAATTAGTAGGAATCCTCTGGGTGAACATTTGTGGATTTTTTTTTTCTCTTCAGGTTGTCAAACTTGCAGCCCTTCCAGTCAGCCTGGGGCTAATTCCATTCCAAGTGTACGCTTCAAATGAAAGCAAACAGGAGAAACAACTAATTAGGCCTGAACAGGTGAGTTATTTAACTCTTACTGAATTCCCTTTGTAAGGTTTCAAAATAAATGCATGCCTTATATTCATACGACATGCAAAAAGTAAATTTTCAATTTGAATCTGTAATTTATACAGAGCTGCAAATTATTTAGAAGTAAAACCACATATGTTCTTCATACAAAAGCTTGTAACAATGTGGAATGCACCACAACAGAAGGCTGCACATGCAGAATCAATTGGGATGTTTAATTGAGAGGCAGACATATAGATAGACAGTAAGTGTGTTAAGGGATATGGAGAAAAGGTAGGGAAATGGGATTGGGATTTGCAATAATCTAATAAAGTTATGGTACTGTTTAATCAAACATAGTAAAACAGAGAATAGCATGTATCAGAAATCCTGTTTTGTAATTTTTACACTGTATTTGCAATGATGAATAGATTAACAAACAGTTAATTAACTGTTTTGAGGGTTAATCAAACTTACACAATGTTACAAGGTAGTCGACCAAATAATTGCCCTGTCTATGAATTTTATAGTAAGAAGGCCTTTCAGACTATTTGATTTCATCCTTCCAGAATACCAACCCTTCCTTTTCCCAATTACTGCATCAAGTTTCGCTTTATATAAGTGCAAGTTGTTGTTTTTGTTAAGTGAAATCAGTGTTATTCCCTTTTCCACACTTTCCTACAACCTGTGCCACTTGGTGGTTATTCTCTGTGTAAAGAAATACTTCTGAGTGCCTGTCCCCAAATTACCCTTCAGACCCTGAAAATACCTAAATTGCTTTTCTCACAGGACTGCTGGTTATCCACTCCCAATTGTTATTTTAGTTGAAAGGTTACTATGCAGAAAATAAACATTAGCTGCAGGTGTATTGCAGGACAGAACACACAAGGGATTCAGTTGATATCATTTTCCACACGAATACAACTCATAGCTTATGTCCTTTCTGCCCTTAGGCAAATTGCAGCAATGTTGTTCATTCTCAGACATCCTGAATGTTTTAATACTGTGTGTGTGGGTGTGTGTGTGATGAATATAAATATATAACTTGCCATGAAATATGTTTTTATTTCCGACTGAACAACAAGGAGAATCCATTCTTTTTAAATTCTCTTGCAAATAAATTTACAATAAAGCAATTTTGGTCTGGAATACAGTACTAGCATTTTAAGTGTGTACAAGATTGGTGCACAAGATTTACCGTATCTAGTAGAATATTATATAAAGTAAGAGTAAACAAATGTTTAATTTGATCTGTTACTAGTTTGCAAGCTTTTTATTTAAAATTTCTTTATTTTGTAACTTTTCCTTAACTATTAAAGTAGACTAACCACAATATATAAGCCTAAAATATATAATTAACATTACTTATTATGGTGATAAAAATAAAAAATAATTTCAATATTTTGCTGGAAAAGAAAGTATATCAAGACCCAATTTTGCCATAAGTAGCAAACATTGCGATTAAAGATATTTCTCAAATGTTTGTCTTGCTTTTCAGCTTTCAGTTTACACTGCACCGCACACAAACTTCAAGTACATACAGGAACAGCCCGGTCGTCTTGAAGAGGGTCTTTCTGTCGTGAGACAAACTATTCAACCATATGCAGCAAAGTGCAAGGTTCTGTCTCGTGATCTTGTTCTGCATGTACCGTGTACTATAAAATTATTTCTGAGACAGAAATTGTTTGTAAAGAAGATTTCTGCACTGATATACTAAGATTTAAAAATTCTCACTCTTTCATAATACAGAGTACTATTATACGCCTTCCTGTGCTGACTGTTCAAAAGGACTCTCAACAGTATATTAATTAATCAGAATCTGAACCTAAAGTCTTGACTCACAAGGTGGTTTGCCCTTGGAAGCTGTTTCTTTTCTCAGTGTGTCACATGTATTCACACGCCCACCCCCAGCTCAGGCTCCAGCATCTCTGAAGCTCTTTGAGACGTCCTCCCGACATGAAAGGCGCAATTAAATGTCGACATGAAAGGCAGTATTAAATGTAAAATTGTTACAAGGTAGTAACACGTTGAGGTGTTAAACAGTGGGAGAAAACATGAATGAAAGTACATGATGCTTATGATTCAGGTGTATGCGGGAGACGGGGTCATTTTCCATGTTGCCACCCAAAAGATTGTTACATGAATGAAATTCTTGTGAAGACAAGCTGGATATATGTTTGAATAAGAATGGCAATTAAGATTATAAATATAAGCTTAGACATGGATGATCAAATATTCTATTGGACACAATTGATCTTGTGCTTCTGGGACTGTGGAAATGCATGTAATTAGGGTTGAGTAATGTAGGTTATAATGTTAGATTAATGCTTCACTCGATTACCTTTGGAAATCAAGGCACAACTTTACAGAGATTTATCTGCATGTTTTGCCTGTGGTTAGTTATCTCCTTCAAGAGATGAAATAGGTTGGGTAAAGTGGGGCAGATGTTACTTGGTCTGTGAAAGGAAAGGGCTTGAAGGCCCAAATAAACTTGTATAATTTTCACATTATTAATGTCGTCTGATCTTAGTGAAAATTATTAATGCAAATTAACTTTTTTTTCCAGACTTGCAGTATACATTTGTAGTAGTGAATTAAACGTTAGAGTTTATTAATACTAGCATCAGACCTGTACTGGAAACCGAACCATACTATTTTTTTATAACCAGTTTTTCAATGAACTCGGTGGTTTCTTAGAAACTATATCTAAGAATGCATTTTATTGTACCAGACCCCAAAATGAGGTAATAGTGAATTTAGCCTAAATGCTAGTTCAGGTCGGTCTGTCTGCCTGCTTGCTTCCTAATCAGCCTATTGAGGGAGATGCAACCCTGAGTTAGGCCTCATTGATGTGAAGCTGATTTTGAAGTTGAAGTCTGCATAGTTTAGAATAGAAAAATGAATTTACCTTGCTGCATGAATTCAGATTATATTGTTTCTATATAAGAAGTGCACGTGCATGAGAATGAGAAAACCATTTAAAATAGGAAGATTTATTGATACTTTCCATTTATATTTTTCTAGGGTGCATATGCTGCTTTCAGAATTGGCGCACAAAATACTGCTGCATTTGGAAAAAGTAAGTGTGGCTTTATGAATTTAACAGGATTTACGCTGCAATCCCATTGTATGCGACATCAGTTCCCCAGAAAACATCATGTGTTGCAGGAGAGTATTGTTCTGCTATCAAAAAACAGGTTAGCCCAGAATTCTGGTGCTACACAATGTAACACTCATTTGTTTTAATTTAAGATGCATACGTCTTCCTCAAGAACCCACCTTCAGGATTCTTGCCAAGAGTCAGTGTGATAACTGTATCTGGATTAGCTGGATTGATCCTGGCATCAAGAGGTGGGTTGTACAGCAATTGCCACATAATTGCCACATAGCAACAAATAGAATAGGCACAGAATACAAGATTTAGGTTACAAATGTTGAAAAGTATGTGTGTGTGCATGTGTGTGTGTGGATTCATGGCTCTAGATTAAATGATTTTATTTAACAAATCTATTTGTGAAACCATTCCTCTAATAATAATAATAATCCTTACATTTGATATAGCACCTTATCAAGTCTTCAGGATGTCTCAAAGCGCTTCACAGAATATACTATAAAGTGAATTGACTGTATATTTTGTCTGCTGAAAAAACACCCATACAGTTTTCTATCAGTTCCATCTTTGCTTCACAGAAAAATATAGTCCCTTTTCATTTCATCTTCCAAAAATTAACAACAATTACACTTGTAAAATAACTTTTTTTAATTAATATAATTCTCATTTAGCTTAAGGATAAACCTTGGAAATTGTGGTCCTGCCAATCTGTGATATGTTTGTGCTAAATACCTTAAATTTCAACAGGCTCCCGGTTTAAGAAGGTGTTGTATCCTTCAGGACTTGCCACTGTAGGAATGGCCATTTGTTACCCTCAACAAGCAATTGCAGCAGCAAAGGTAACATTTCCTACATTTACATTATATGTTACATTTCAGAAAATAAAGCCTAATTTTAATGTACTGGGACATACTTGGCAAATGATGAAAGTGAGCAAGAAGACTTGTGTTGGAACAAAAATACAGAACTAAAGGGGCAACACCATATATGGTCATTACTGCACATAACTGAAGAAACATAAATCATATTATAGTTCTGTCTAGTATTTTACAGTGTTCATCTTGTGAAGTAACTTAGCATTGACTGCACCAATTTTGCACAAGTATCAATAGACTAGGTTTTCTGCTGGGATACAATGGTGAGTAGCACAATTGTTTATTTTTCCTTTAGTTTTCTGGTAAGAAGGTATCTGCAGCCAGCCAATGGGGCTATGACGCTGTTGGATCTCTCTGGAAAGGCAATGCTGAAAAGAAAAAGGAAACTAAAAAGAAGGTAAGTCTGGAAGTCAGTCAGTAACCCGACAAAACAAATCATTAAGTCTGGAATCATGTAACATGACAATGAAATTGATTCCAGAGTTTGTAATATCCAGTTACGCTTTTCAGGAATGACAGAACTATTTTATGGAATAGTCTAACTGCTGATGTTTTTACACTACACTTTCTCTCCAGTTTGCAGACTTGCTATATAGCGATAGAGCCCTGCCCTTTCAACTCTTTTGCAAAGATGGGGTTCAATGCAAAACTTGTTTTTCCAACAATTTTCTGTTACTTTAATCACAGATAAAAGATAAAAACTGAATTGTGATTTATACATTTCTAAGAAACACTGGTAGATTCACACCAAATAGTGTCAGGTACTTGGATCAAATCTATGGATCCTTTCTCCTTTTCTGAACTGAAATTTTCTAATTACTTAAAATGCTTAAAAGTTGAGAGAAGAATGGTTCATCCCATTTGTCAAAGTAGAAAGAGTTTTGGCACAATCAGCCAATCACCTAGTGCACTCGCAGATGGAGCCACATGAAGTGAGGGAGTCATTTCACTAAGTGACTAAATTTAAAATATAATTTTCTCTTATTGGCTTTTACTGACTAACAAGGACTTCCGTTGAATATTTTAATCCTGCTAGACAAATAGTGACACATCAGTTCACGTAATAAGAATGATGTGTGCGTACCTTAATGGTAGAAATTTTATTTCATTAGCATCTTTACAATCACAACTATGGTTCTCAAAACACGAATAAAATATATAGAATATAGCACACCTACTATATTTAATAAACTGAATGACAGCCAACAACAACAAATTGCATTTATATTACAAGTTTTACTTCGGGAGGAGGTCTGTGCTGGACAATGACGTGTTTGCTCATGAGCTGGGGGTTGGAGTTTAGAGAGGTGGAGGGCAAGCCTAAAAAAAAATCATAAAAGACTTACTTTACTCAGGTGAAGTAAAATCTTTTAAGTTTACATGAATTAACTTCTTACAAGGCTATTTGACAAGTTGTAGCTACTTAAATATTATTCTTGGGTAAATTGCTTAACAAAAAAAACTTCAGAATGATGTGCACATGTGGGAGATAACAAGTCCCATCACCTCCTTTCATTAAACAGTTGAATGTACGCTATATACAATTGCCACGCTTCGCCCGCAAAATGCACAGTTGCTATACTATACAGTATATTCTGTGAAGCTCTTTGAGATGTCTCGATGATGCGATAATGTGCTATATCAAATGCAAGGATTATTATAACTTCTAGTAAACCAATGAGAACTTAGAATGGTGGCAAACAAATCTTTCCAAAGTAGTTTAGTATTTTTCTGTAGAAAATTAATCACTGGCCTAAAATAAATCTTTACTAATAAACTCATTTAATCAAGTTTTGATAGCCGCCATAACAGTACAACATTTAGTTTTTTCTAAATATGTAAAATTGTAATACCATTTAGCTTTGTATATAAGATATTAAAAATGCAATTACAGTATTGGATAAAGTGCAATTTATTAATGAAGCAATTACAAAACCGGTCAACTTGATCATTTTGTAGTTGAACGGTCAGCTAACAAAGGTCTACTCTGTCCATTATTTAAATATTCTGTCATGTTCAAGTGATCTTGAAATTGTAATTTTAGTATTGTTATGTGTTGCACCCTAATTGTTTAGCCCAGTACACAGAAGGAACCGCCAAAGCAGGAGACGCTTAATAATATGGGAAGCACCAAATCCCAAGCAGCACCTTTGTCAGAGGTTTTATCTCAAAAATCAGTAAATACAGAAGGTTCTCTTGTGCCAACAAAAGGTAACTTTTCTTTAAACTCTTCTCAATCATCTTCAGCATTAACATAGTATCTTATGCCCAGATTATTCCATGCGTTTAGTGATTTGCTGCAAAACAATTGGGCTGAGTAGTGTAACTGTAAAGCAATTTGTGCTAGGGCCCAACTACCGTGACAAGTTTGAAGGTGATTTTGGCAGAATATAGATCAAATGACTGGCTTCTTTAGTAATATTTAAACAAAATTAACCAGTTTGTGAAGCTCTGTACACACAATTATTTGTGCAGAACTCTCCTTAGCCCTGAGCAAGAACAGTTAGCAATTGGAAAGAAAAATCTCATTTAGAATCATTCTATACATCTTAACCAACTGGTGTTGGTATCCTGATTCATATAAACCTAAAATATATACAGTATTTTCTGGACGGTTAATCCGTTTGTCTATAAAGTGGGTAATGGTCACTTCCTTCAATCTTGCCTGATAGTTCCACGGGGTGATTTGTGCATCTAGTAATACATCAAAGTTCTATGGCTTACAGTCTTTATTCCAGAGTCTTGATTGAGTGCTGCTTTGTTCGAGTAACAGTCATACCTTGCCTTTTAACCCATACTGGATAATGACCATCCAATCTAGAGAAGCTAATCTCCTTTGGTATTGTCACTTTTGTGACCTGCACAGTGAGAGGTTTGTTAAGGTGCAGGAGAAAAATCTAACCGTGTTTGCATGAATATATATATATATATAAGATTTAAAAATTACAGTTGTTGTGAAATGATAACCAGATCTTTCTTTTCCATATGGCAGGAAAGGAGAATAAAATACTTGACCCTAACTTGATGGACCATGGTCAGTCACATCCTGAAGATAAAGACTTGTACAGTACCCGAAGTTAAGGCTCTCTAATGACTGCACAAGATGTTTTACAATGCTTAGGGTCTACCTCAGCAATGGAATAAATTGGTACACAAATAACCATCAATTGGTGTGACAATCCCTTGCTGTGTACAAGTTCCTTTACTATATGTGCCTATTTATCTGTGATGTGATCAAAACAAGTCAATTATGAATCTAGCACTTGAAAAGAAAATTATACATTTTAAGTGATGCATGCTTATGTTTGAAGTCTCCCTCTATTTGCCACTTTAACAGACTCCACCTTGTATATAAAATAAAACATCAAATACCCGCAGACTCACGTTGCAGGGAATAGAAGACTTTGTGTTCCTTTTTCTATAATAATAATACATTTGATATAGTGCCTTATCACATCTTCGAGACGTCTCAAAGCGCTTCACAGAATATACTGTAAAGTGAATTGACTGTATTTTGTGGGCGAAACGCAGCAGCCAATTGTGCACAGCATGTACAAACATGTTGCAAGGTATCTTTTGAAAGACTTCTATATTAAAATTTGCATCATTGTTAGATAAGTACATACCTGCCTCAAACCCCAAATGAATGCAAATCCAAGTTAGGTAATATTTTGAAAGCAGCAAGTGCACCTAGAATTCATTACATGAAAAAATAAATAATAAAAAAAATAATTACATGTACCATGGATATTACACAAGTATGAATGCTGAAATTAAGTCGGATAAGAATGAAAAAGTAAATGCAAACAGAGGAAATGAAAAGCACTAATAAGAACCTAATAAGGCTAAATATACTGTACTTCAAATACAGACAGCTGCAAGTTTCGGGAGTCACACTTGGTCCTGATGAACCTCATTTCTTATTGGTATTCAAGTTTGGGTTTTTTGGCCTGCCAGGTGTCTGACACGTGCGGAAACCCATCATCGTGCTGACGAATACAACTACAACAACAACTTGTATTTATATTGATTGCACCACTCATGCAAGATAGGGTCCAAGAGCATGTAAGTAACATATTCAAGTTTGGAGCACAGCTGTTTGGTTTGCAGTGAAATTTCAACACCGGCAAACACTTGGCTGTGAGCCTGTTGTCGCCTCCACTCTCAGTAAGTGACATGAAGTGACCTTCTTAACAGCAGTTTAATCTAAAATGCAAGATGCTTGTGGTGCAGTTCTATTGTGCAGGTTACCTGAGAACACTCGTACTTCGGAACTAAAGCAGCAAGTCTGCAGAATGCAAATGCAGGTTTTTCTGTGATTCTCTTGAACATAGAACGATCTGTTAATTTTAATGGTGTATGTGGAACCTTCGACACTAGAGGGAAGCATGTTGGGGAAACATTTAACTGGGGTGATTTTTAACTATCGTAATCCTTGCATTTGAGGAAGGATAATTCATTTTTTTAAAAACATTGGCAGAGGCTATGTTTACACATATTTATCTCTCCTTGACATGTCTTCAGAAGGTTTTTAATATATCGTACCATGTATACAAGCATTTATATATAATCCAAGTGCTTGCCTGCTTATCTGCTTCAGGGTATAGCAGTTTACTAAAAAGTGTAGACATGTTTAACCCATGTCAAGGACAAATTATTGCATAAAAACGAGTGAAACCATTAAAAATACTTAGATACTTAACCACTGACAGCCATCAGAATGCATCATTTCACATTTCTTTTTAGTCTGTGCCTACCCTCATCCCTATTGAAAGCAGGAACCACTATAGTTATGGGCCTGTATTCAAATCCAAAGGAGAAGGGTGGGCTGAAAGTCTTGTCTCACTGAACTATGAATGTACAAACTCAAAAGATTTGGACATTGAATGTGGAACAGCATCATAAAACTTCTTATTTCAGCACAACATTGTACTAAAATTTTATGTTAGTTGGCATTCTGAGGACAGCTGCTGTGAAATGAACATGTCTAACATTGGTGTCGTAGGGAGTGTTATAGTATCAGGTCAAGGTGCATTAAGGAAGAGAGAGATAATGGAAGTTTTACAGTGCATAAGATATAAATATCCCAGCAGTGCTCACGTGATGTTTTTGAAAGTGTTCCAACAATGGTATCCCTCCCCCCTTAAAAAGCACAAAGAAAATTGACTGCTCTATACTCCCATTGGCAGCTTGTAGATTGATCCACCTGATTTACAACATTGCATGCTTCATTGGTATTCATCCAATGTGCATTTCCTGCTCATCATAGAGCAACAATAAATCTGTACCTTGAACCACTGTGGTACCACTCCCATATTACAACATTAGGAACATTGATGAAAGGTTCAATAGTACCATCAGTTAGTGTCTTAGAATCCATATAAATTAGACACCATAAAAGTTGATTTCACAGAGTAATGAAACCCGACCTAAATGCTCCATTACATCTATAGATTCTGACACTGCAGCAAGAGGCTAAGCAGTCTATAGCATCACTAGAAAAAGGCAAGGTTGAGCAATTACCTGAGTTTCTATGACATCAGACAAATGTCCTTACTGTGAAAACTAGACTAACATATGTAATACAGTGGAGTGTTTAAAACAGTTTAGAAAAATAGGACAGAAGTGACTACATGCATTGTTGGTCCAGAGTTCTAACCTGTACTATCTGGGCAGATGTTTTTCAACTTCTTCTGTTATTTATGTTGGTTCTTATACAATTAATTCAATTTTGAAACAGCCTTTCAATGTATGGATGAATAAACATTGTAAATATTCAGTCCTCACGGTAACTGAATGTGTGTCATACCAACCAGTGGCATTTTACTCTGAGGTAACCAAATAACTGGGTGTCCATCTGGTTAGCATATCTAAATCCTTGGTCGCTCTTGTTACATATACTGCATTTTTGACCTTATTAAATCAAACATGAAGGGAAACATAACATCTTCATCCAAGTAACTTTCATTGAAATGTGTTTGTGAAGTTCTTTAGGGAAATGGAATGAAGCTCAATTTATCACCCATATCTTAACAGACATTGCAAAATTCTTGCTTAAGGATTAAGTTGCAATAACAACAACAATAAGATTCCATTTATTGAGCGCCTTTCACGTCGGGAGGACGTCCCAAGGCGCTGTACAGTTGGGTCAGGACCCGAGCAAGGGGGAAATAGTCAGGGTGAGGGGAGGGAAGGGAGGGAGCGAGGAGGAGGTAGAGAGTCGAGAGGGGAGCTGAAGGCACGGTCAAAGAGAAAGGTCTTGAGACCGGCCTTGAAAGAGGAAAGGAAGGAAGCGAGGCGAAGGCACTGGGGGATAGAGTTCCAGAGCCTCGGGGCGGAGAGGCTGAAGGCCCGGCCACCGATAGTAGGGCGGTTGGGGCGGGGGATGTGGAGCAGACCGGAGCCAGAGGAACGGAGGGTACGGGAGGGTAGGTAGGGGGATAGTAGGTTGGAGGTTGGAGAGGTAGGAGGGAGCGAGGCCGTGAATGGCCTTGTAGGTGAGGGTGTGGATCTTGAATTCGAGTTAAGTTAAGCTATTTAGTACCATATAAAGCCTTTGGATGTGTGTCTAAAGTGTGATATTCTCAAACTGGATTTGAGTTGCTAATTGTGCTTTACTCACAATTCCATGTGCCTAGGTTTAGCAATTCAAAAATACAACAAAATATATAAGAAAAATAAATGATAACTTGGTTTGTTTTTATTTTCAGTAGCAAACTAGCCTTTGATATTTTCTCAGTTTTGTTTGTTTCTTGGAGTCTTCAAATTCTACACCGCAGGGATTTTCCAGATCTATATTGCTCCATTTGGAGGTATCTGAAGCTTTATAATGCAATATAATTAATTTACATGAACGACAAAGCACTTTACAGTAAATCCTGTGAAGCACTTCGAGACATTGCAACAATGTGATAAGGTATGATATCAAATGCAGGGATTATTATTATTGCTCAGAAGTCTGTCAGCAATCATAAACCAATACCAAGATCTAGAAATGTATATAAAAACAAACTTCTGAGGCATGTGTGTAAAAATGCATAATTATTTATCAATATGAATTACATCAGATTACTTCTAAGGCAGGTATGAAAATATAACACATGATTTACTCGAATATTATTCCATCCTAAACTGCAAATCAATACAGAAAAAGCAATTGCAACATTACGTGCATGACAACAATTGCATCAGATATTTCTTAAATGTGTTCAAGATCAACAATTGGCTGGAACAGATTGCACCAGTCATCAAGGGCACATACGCCTTAAATGATCTATTGCATTTTTGGTTTTGTTCACTGAAAACTAAAAAGCCTGTGACAAATATTCTGTTCGGTAGTTTGGACCATGTTTATCAGTTGCTGATGACGTCCTACATTTGGTTTTCGTTCTCAATCTCTGATGGAGCAAAAATGACGGTCAGAATTTTCAAATAAAGTTCAGTAACTGGATTAAGTTTGCGAGGATTTTTTTTTAACAAAGAACCTATTTCTCTCCATCACAAATCTGTGGGATTTTCTACTGTTTAATCTACATTTATAGAGAGCCACCTCATGTCTTAGTGGCTAAACGTACCATGTGATGTGTTACTGAGCCTTACATATGAAAGTCCCATATTTGATCCCTGGCATGAGTTAAATAAGATGAATTCAGCTAGGATTGTGGTAGCAGTAGTACAATTGGCCAATGTATTCCTGTGTTGAGTGGGGAGCTGATTCCGAATACTGGCCACTATCCAGTGATAATTTTTGGAAATTGCGTGTGTTGAGAAAAGGCATAATTTCTTTCACCCAAGCTGTACTCTATAGTCCGATAGTCTGCCTAGGTTCACCCATGATTTCTTGAATTGAGGTACCGAAGACAGGCAAACATCTTGGAACTGCTGATATATTCAGCAACAGTCTTCAGGAGAGGAGAGAAAATGATGGGGGACGGGAGTGGGGGGGGGGGGGGCGGGAGATGCTGTTGAGATGTAACACTCCAAGATGTGTGTCTGCAAGAAAACCAGGAAGAAAGTATGGTATAGCATTAGGAGGAAGTCTCGAAGTTTATCACAAGATGTATTGTAAAATGTAATGACTACTTTATAGGCAAAGTGCACCGATAAGTAAATGATATGCAATCTTTATAATTTGCTGCTTTTTAAATAGAGTCATGTGAAGGCCGTTATATAAATCCTATTGTTGTTGCTTTGCTTGAATCACTGTATCAGCTTTCATTTTGATGTTTTCTCACTTCCAATTTTCTTCTAATTTGCTCTCAAGGCTTTTGTTGCCTTATTTTCCTTAGTTTTCTCTCTCACTCTGTTTATTTTCACTCTCTCGCTTTTTTTTACTTAATCCCTTTCATCTTATTGCCTCACTCTTTTTTCTCCCCAATGTAAGAAGATCTATGCTTTGCTATAATAGTGAAGTCTTTGCTCATAATTCATTCCTCAACCAGTAGGGAGCATCCTCTTTAGTCTGCACTGCCGCTTTGAGCCCTCCTTCACTCATTATGCTTCATAACTATATTTTCCTGTGGTAAAATCATTGCTATTGCATTTCACTGCTAGGTGGGGCTTGTACAGTAATCTAACAATAAGATTGTCAGAAATGGATTGGTATTCTAATAATTTGGGCAGTGACGAATACAGTGGACTTCAAACTGTTTAAGTACTCCACATAGAGAGGCATCTTTATTTCAGTGGAGCATTGGCTGCTGTGAAAGTAGGCGCGTTATATTGTAATTGAGTTGTATAGTAAGACTTGGTGCCTGTAACAATGTGGATTTTCCGCAGTGCCTTCCCAATCCTTTTGGTTCTGTTTGCCAGTGCAGTTACTGAGCAGATTGATATGCCTTCACCTGAAAAAGAAGATATCAGGAGCAATAGTACAGGAGGTGAGCCCTTCACATTGTGATGAATAATTGCATTTTCTATCATTTTCTATATAACATCAACCGTCTCAAAGTGCTTCCCAAACTTTCTGTCACTGTAATATGTATCGACTATGTATTTTATATATAATGTACAATTATATACTGCCTTAACATGTCAGAAGGATGTCTCAAAATGCTTTGAGACATGAATAGACACTCGAGCTGGGATGGAGCTATGTCCCACAAACAGCCAGGAAGTGAATGGCCAATTTTATTTGCGGGATTGTCGGCTTGGATACTGGGACAAACTGCCTTCTCTTTTTGAAGCCTGCCATGAGATCCTAAGGATAATAATAAATAATAAAATATGATCCTTGTATTTTTTATATAGCGCTTTTCAAGACTTCTAACAACTCAAAGCGCTTCACAGAATGTACTGTAAAGTGAATTGACTTATATTTGTGGACGAAACGCAGCAGCCAATTGCGCACAGCAGTGTCCCACAAACAGTCGTGGATTGAGTGACCAAATTATTATTTTTTTTCTTGAGGGATTATTATTAGGCGTGTGGAATAAGGAAACTTGCCCAAGTTTTCCCTGGTGGGAATTAAATCCAGGTCTCTCGCTTGCGAGGCGAGTGCTCTAACCATTGAGCTACAGGACTCCACATCCCCCTGAATAGGCAGCTGAAAATATTGGTTACTCTTCCGAAGGATGGCATCTGTGGTGATGCAGAAACCCTTCACCACTGCATTGAAGTGTCAGCCTGGCATCTTTGCTCAAAGTCTCAGAATGGGCCTTCAAACTACAGCCTTCTGACCTAGAGACAAGTGTTCCTTACTGAATCAGGCAGACTTGTTGACAACAGTTTAACTATATTTACTATATTCAGCAGTCAATTCACTTTACAGTATATTCCGTGAGACGTCTTGAAGACGTGATAAGGCACTGTATCAAATGCAAGGATTATTATTATTATATTGATTATAAACAGTACTAAATAAAACAAACAACTCTGTTTGCTTGTTTTATTCAATACAATGGCTATTTATAATCAATATTTTTTTCTTGTTTTCTAAATCTTTTGGAAATATTGATACATTTGTGTTTCTGACAACTATCAGGTGTGTGTGATGATTTTATATCTTTGTCCGGATTTGGCTCACTTGCATTCAGAATATCTAGATATTGTATTGGGCGTGGAAAAAGTGGACAGTAAAGTGCTTAAAGCATGGTAAAAAATAATGTTTAATTAAATTTGCTTCATTGAGGGTTCTCTTCCTATTAAGTATCGAGGCTACTAAACAATCAATCAATTAGATTTAATGAAAGCTTGGTGTCCTGTAATATATTGGTTAGAGCACTCGCCTCATAAGCCAGAGGACCTCGGTTCAATTCCTGGACAGGGCAAAAACCTAGGTTTCCTCACTCCACATGCCGCTATTTACCTTGCAGTAAGTAAGAACCCAGTTGTTAGTCGATTGGCGGATCACTAATAATCCCTCAAAAAAATGATGTGGTCACTCAATCCACGACTGTTTGTGGGATACTGCTGTGGGCAATTGGCTGCCGTGTGTTACCCATAAAAATACAGTCAATTCACTTTACATTATATTCTGTGAAGCGCTTTGAGATGTCTCAACAACATGATAAGGCACTATATCAAATGCAAGAACTATTACTATATTGTGGTTTAAAAAATCTGACTGCATTGAGATTACCAGGTCAATTTATTGGATTGTTCTTTTTTGAAAAAGTATTTGCTGCAAGGGACGTATTATAAATGATTTCTCCTCTTGTGCTTTTTTAAATAATAGTGGGGATTTTTGGAAAAACACCAGTGGGCAGAAAATCCTGTTTCTGTGCTGTAACAGTCTGTTACTATTCCCGAAATATTGCCCCTCTAATAATAATAATAATCCTTGCATTTGGTATAGCACCTTATTACGTTGTTGAGGCTTCTCAAAGCGTTTTACAGAATACATGAATATGTTATATATTGTAAAGTAAGTTGACTGTATATTTTGTGAGAGAAATGCAGCAGCCAATTGCACACAGCAGTGTCCCACAAACAGTCGTGGATTGAAGTGACCAATTTTACTGTTGGTTTATTTTTTCTTGAGGGATTATTATCAGGCTTGCAGAGTAAGAAATTTGCCCAAGGTTTCACCCTGCCGGGAATCAAACCCAGGGCTCTCGCTTCTAAGGCGAGTACTCTAACCACTGAGCTACAGGACAGACCAAGCATGTGGTGATTTTCACCTCTCTTGTTCTATTTCAATACAGTGGCTATTTATAATCAAAAAGTGATATACCATACGCAAAAGAGGCTGCCTCCCAAGGTGGTGCAAAATGTTGAGGCAATTCACGGGAGAAGAACAAAAATAAAATCTACCTTTAAGGAGTGGCAATTACTCATAATCAATCAATAATATACTTAACTAGGCTTATCAGGGTGTTTAGCTGAATAATTTACATAAGAGCACAGTTGGATTATAAACAGTAAATCTAACATTATGTATAATTTTAGTTCACTAAATAAAAATTATTTGATCAATTTGTGATCATTACTTTATCTGAAATAAATTAAGAATGCCAATGATTTTTGAATACAGTGTGTTCTTTATTGTAACAATCATTTGTAATAATTTGAGGGGTGCTGCATTCTTTATGATTTTTAGGAAGTGGCTTTCACGATCAATATTTTCCCATGAATTCCTTATCTTTTTATATAATCTCTTTCAGAAAACTGCAAAGATATTCCTGACTTTGAACGGTGCAAGTTGAACACTTGCCCAGAGCATATGCCTTGTTATTGTAAGGACAACAAAGAATACTGCAGGTAAATACACATGGTAAATAAACAACCAAATAAGCTAACAAGATTATACAATAGTTCCTTCAAAATATTCTTTTTGATGTTGTGTAGAAAAACTTTACAATTTAAAAAAAATAGAACGCAAGTGGTTNAAAAAAAACTGGAAATAATATTCTCAGGTGAGTATTCAAACAATTGTATATTGCTGTTTAATCAGGGACACCTGTTTTTTTTTCTACCTATCATTCAATTCTCATTTTTGTAGCTTTCTCAAAGCAAAACATGTTCAAAAGCAATTAGATTTGAAATCGTGAATTCTTTTATTTTATTTTACAGGTGTTCAAATTTTAAAGGCCCCTTCGGAGATTATTGGTACATGGGGTCCTATTGTGACCAAGAATGGAGCTTTCTTGACTTGATTTTAGTGGCTGTCCTTCCTGGTGTCTGTCTCACTCTTATTGTTGCCATCACTATGCACTTTGTATACAGGAAACAGAAACTAGACGCCTTGGCAAGAGTCAATGAAAGGTGAGTTGTGCATCAGTGGTTATTAGTCTTCATAGGATTAACCATGAACTGAAGCGTACAATAGTAAATTGTCCAGAACTAATCAGTTCAGTGGCAACATTATTACATCTGATGGGTTCAATATTTTGAAATGCCCTTTTCCTATTATTACAGCAGTGTTTGTTGTTTGTTGTATCAAAACATTGAACCAATATCTGATATTTAGGAACATCTCTTCAGTGAATAACTTCTTGAAGAATAGATGTGCCTTTTCATCTTTGACACACTCATTCGCCCACAGAATAGTCACTCCATTTTGCAGTACATCACGTGAACTGCTTTGAGACTTCCTCTTGATGTGAGAGGCATTATATCAAGTGTAACAATTATTATTATTAATTTCAAAAGGAGATATTACAAAGCAGAATTAGTCAATAGAATTAAATTTAAAATGATAGCTAAAACCCTTTTCAACTCAATTCTAAGAAGAAGCTAAATTCTTGATTATTCAAAAAAAATATGAAGCATGGTTACTTGGGTAAGATAGAGCCATATTCCAGCAAAGGTCAGAACCCTAAAGAGATAAAACAATATTGGAAATAACAAACAGTAACAGGGAATGAATTGCAAGGAGTTTCTCTTGGTGTCCTCGCCAACAATCCCGCAGAAAATAATTGGTCATTCACTTCATGGCTGCTTGTAGAACATTGTAACATATTGGCTGCCACATTTGCGTACATAATACTCAGTCCCTACACTTTACAGTCAATCCTGTGAAGTGCTCGTAGATGCCCTCCTTATGTGAAAGACACTGTATCAGTGATGTCGTTGTTATCAAACACAAAGATTATTATTTCTTTATTTCCTGGATTCATTCAGAAGAATAATGAATAATTTTCATCACGGAAAATAAACTCAGTAGTTCTGCACATTGTAGTGAATTATTTTATTTTCTCGCCTATGTTATTGACAGGCTTTTAGGTACAATGTTAAACATTTTTACCAGATTAGTTTGCTGCAAAGTCTTGTCCATAGCAAGATTTAAGAACTGTAGACTGGTGTCATTACCGCCAGACATGTTTCTTCATCGTTTTTGTTTCTTCAATTAATTCACAATTGCTGAAATAAGATGCGGTAGGAAATAATAGTATGCTATGGTAAAGCAGTGCTCCATTTCTTAATTTATCAGATCTTGTTGATAGTACATTCATTATTTTTCCTTGAATGATCTTCATTTCTGCTGTTTGATTAAAACAAACAAAATTCAACTGGAAATGTAAACGCTAACTTAACTTATCCTGTGCCGAACAGCACGAAAGTGAGCAGAGCACATCTGGTTGATGCAAATAAATACAGGGACCTTCACAACCCACAGCAGAGAATGGTAAGGCTTTAAAGATGTTATCATAACTAATTCACTTGTATCCTTTTAAGTTCTGCATTGAGAGCTAGTTTAAAGTAACGTTTGTAACAAGACTCAAACCTACGTCACACCACATTTCTTCTTTATTGACTGATTACTGATGTCTCGTGACTAGATTTTACGAAACAATTCAGAATGTTGAAATGAACTGAACTCTTAAAGTCATACACATATACATGCCCAGATAATGTAGTTTGGATCTCTGGACACATCAGACAAAAGTACATCTCTTGGTATAACTGTTCTAGTCAGCTAATAATGTAATTTTAAGAGGAATTTACAATGGCCTGACTCATCTAATAACCGACACAGTGAATCACCATTGGTGGATGGGTCTTCTGTCACTCTGACTCCACGCTCTGGAACTCCATCCCGCAGTCCCTCCGCCTCACCCTTCCCTTTCCTCCTTCAAGACCATGCCTTTGGTCACCCTCCTTCCCCCTCTGCCCTCCCCGCGCCCAATCTCCAGCTCAGGTCCGAAACATTGATTATCCAGCCACTTGGGACGTACTCCCGAAGTGAAAATGTAATTTTGTTGTTGTTGTTAAGCCCATTTAAAATCAAACTGCACTGATTGTAAATAAGAGCTCATCATATGTTTTTTTTAACCCTACACTGATATCTATTCTGGAACAGACAATTCTTAGCACCGCCACTCAATGTTCAAGTGACAAAGTTCAGTCCTGCCTTAATCCCTGCAGAATACGTTCAATGACATGCTGCACATAACAATTTTTGTGCTATAAAGGTCACTGAAGTAGAAGCATGAAGTAGCATATTAACAACATGAGAAAACAATCCATTGTGTGCTACAGTTACTATGCCTCCAAGCCTTGCATAGTTTAGTTAGTATTCGATTGGATGTGATTATGTATTAATAGATCATAAACTTTGGAGTGAGGAGGTGGCTAACTATCATCTTCGAGATACAGTACTGCTTCTAGTTTATTGTGTTAAAAAACTACTTGTAACTGATGTGAGATATTTGTGCGAAACACATTACTGGTTGTTTTTTTAAAGTCATTTCCCATCATTTGTTACCTTGGATTTGACACCTCGATCTGAAGTATTATTTACTTTCATTTCTTTTTCACACACCAACACTCACACATACTCTCTTTCTTGACGCAAGATGGGTCATAAAACAATTATTTTACAATTGGAAGTTTACTTGAAAAGGTATATTATTTTAAAAAATCCTCCTGCCTTGCTTTGTGGATAAAAATAACTAATATTAAAAAATAAATAATATTAAAAAGAAAAAGCAGAAAAAGTAAACTCCAGGCTACTCAAAAAGTATCAGCTTCAGTGAGACTTGATCACTTGCCTTTATTCCTGACATTTCTACATATAATCTTTTCAAAGACAACAGTAATAGAATTTTTTGTTTCATTTAATAACTCTCAAGAAATATAATACCAAACAGTGAATTCTACTTCTAATTATAATAATAATCCTTGCATTTGATATAGCGCTTTTCACGTCTTCTAGACGTCTCAGTAATGTAAAATATTGATGTTCTAAAATTTCTATATACTGTATAGCCTCTTCCTCATGAGTTATATAAAATCCAAAAGGCAGTCATGGGGTGAGTTGGCTTGAATGAGTGTAAACTTCCTCTGCCTCTGGAAGTCATCCCACTGGGATTGGAACATTGCTGTGCCAATTGTGTGCCCTACTGCAGTGTTGTGTGCCAAGATAACGACCTGGAAAACTATACTTCCAGCTTGTTCCCTTCACTGGAATCTGTTTTGAGGTATGTGGCACTCTGCATAACCCCTGGAGAAATGTATTTGCTTTAAAAACCTGCTACATGATGCCTGATTTTCAGTAGCTATTATTGAATATTTTTTAGGTGTAACTTAAGGCAATTTATGGAATCATAGGCCATGTTTTTTGTTCTCCTGACACAATTGGTTCCCTTGAGCATTCTCTACTCACATATTGGTACCATATGTAGATCATATGAACACATTTATCACTTCATAATCTGAAATCACTTTGTATGGGTAGTTCTAATAACTGGTCATTCATTTAAATTTTGAATTTTACTTGCAACATAATCAGCTCAGAAGAATTTTTAAAAATTAATTATGCAGTTGATGTTTAGCAGACTTTGCCTTATAAAGGACACACATCAAGTCCTATCAATTTCTTAATCAGAAATCAAGATAAAATTATTATTCCAGGACTCATCTAGTTTTGTTTGGTCCATGTTATCAGCTCACTGCCCTCTCTTTTTCTTAATGATTGTACCATTTGTATTAGGGGGCTTCTGTGGAAAAACAAATCATTTTGGCAATTTTGCATTGTTTCACTTTCTTTTGACATGACCCGACCTCTCTTTGGGAAAAGTCGGTGGTGTATTCCGTGGCCGCACCGGAAGAATCCACTTTTGAATCATCTTCGTGGGTTCCTAGGGCTAACTTCAGGTTTGCTTCATTTTTTAATGTTTCCCAAACTAAACATGATTAGCAAGGAGGATTATTTACCTCTGCATCTTTATAACTGATTGCAAATATGGAAACTGCTCGCAAGTATATTAAGTGCAAAGTTGCTTATTTAAATGTTGCTTCTGCAACAAAGAGTGGGTGAGATGCATGGAATTCTCAATTTGTTTGGCTACTCTTAAGCATGGTGATGGGTTTCCACAGGTGTCAGACACCCGGCTGACCCCCAAAAAGAGTGCAACAAGTTACTGTGAGGATAACTTTTGCTGTTGCTAACGTCTTTAAATACAATATCTATTTTTCACACTTTTTGCTACTGTACTTGATTCAAAATTCAGCATTTTAATATAAGAATAGATAGAAATTCTCAGCACAGAAGCCATTTGCCCCATCGTATTTAGCTGTTTCTGCTTGCCAGCTCTGCTTATTTAAGTAGTCATTTTTATTAATGCCATGTTATAGCGCTTCTCCCATAGCCTTCATGTTGGCACTTCTCAAGTGCTTATTTTTGGAATAGCTACATTGATTGAGCCTCGGTCATCACTTGTAGCTGTGAAAGCCTTCTAATTTCCCACCACGTTTTGCACTTGTTCTGCTTTTAACAGCTATGAAATGTTACTGGACGGATCTCAGACATAATCGGTGATCACCCTCTAGTGGAGAAGTTTTCCATAACATTAACAGATCCCAAAATGTTGTAAAATATTACCTGGCCTATGGAGCTCTGTTTTCATGTGTGTTACATGTATTAAAGTATTTGATCAGGAAAATAAGCATTTTGACAAAATGTATTGCAGTAACTATCAGCTTTCACAATTTACATCCCAGAGTCTCTCCAACTCACACCTTATATACTACTCAGTCACCTTCTGATGATGTTAGTCTGAGCTTCTCTGGCTCAGGCGGCAGACCAGCAGTGTCAAGTGCATTTAGGACATCTTTCTGATGTGAAATTTGCTATATAAATATAAATTGTATTATTTATAGTATTTTTAATAAATTTTAATTTTCGAGTATGTTTTTAACTAAATAGCTTGGTTGATACTGATACTCTGATGATGTTTATTAACAATGACTTTATTTTATTCAGCACCTATCAACCTCAACCGAATATGCCTGAATCGACTTTTACAAACCCGCTGAACCATGCACAAAGTGAATTGCACCTTAATTCTCCCAACTCCCAAGTAGCACTATTTCAGCAAGACTTGAACCCCAGGGTGGATTATTTGCAATCTGTTCCAAACTACAATAATGCATTTCAGGTAAGCAGCACATGGCTCTCTGAGGAAAAACTTTCTGCATTCGATATACTCAGAGGTGCCATCCTTCAGATCTGAGCTCCCATCTATCTGTTTGGGTGTATGTTAAACATATTAAAGATCCCACATCACTATTCAAAAAGATTAGTAAATTTCTCCTGGTGTCCTGGCCAACAATCTCCCAGATTAAATTAACTTTATGGCTATTAACGAAACATTGTAGTGTACAAATTGGCTGCCACCTTTACCTACAAATACACAGTCACTACACTATACACTAAATCTTATGAAGCTCTTTGAGATGATTCAACGAGATAAGGTGCTATTCAATTGCAAGGAATATTATTTTATTTCTTGTATCATCATTCATAACATATTCTTTTTAAAGCCTTGTGAAAATAATGTACTTCCTAAGACAAAATATCTTTACTGAAGATAGTATACTTTGGGAATCTTTAAACTGTTACATAAAAAAGCTGCAAAAGGTTTACCTTGAAACTAAAGCTACTACAGAAAGTGTGTTGCATCAATTTTGCCACAACTGTAGAGCCTGGAGCCATAGGGCAGGTTTGGTTCTGAATTGATTACATGATCTGTGAATGGCAGGTCTTTGATTCTCCTTTGTCATTTTGGGATTTTTCATTGGTTTGTGAAGAATATGGTTTGTGAGGAACAGTGTTGCATTTTAATAAAGTGGTATTTATCTGAAAAATCCAGTTATACTGATGTTCTTTTGCTTTACAGGGGAGGAGAGCACAAGGGTTGCCCCAAACGCATCAGAACCTGGGTCAATTCATGATGCGCAACCCCAGCAATTATGGAAGATTTAATTATTGAGTGGAAACATGCCGAACAAACAAAATCTATCTGGTGTCATTAATAACATAGTTCAAGGAGAACAACTAATTGCTTCCTAATAAATAAAATCGATGCATCAATAATCAATCAGATTGAGATGACAATAAAGATCATAAACAGTGCTGAGGGAAACTGTTGATGGGAGGAATGAGGAGGGGGGTGAATAATTATACTTGTCAAGGCTGGGTGTGCTGACAAGTGAAATCCATCCCAATTTGGCAGTGGTAGTGTTGAGCTAGTATTGAATGTGCCAAGGTCAGATATACCCAACAATGTGCCTCAACCCCACCTCAGAAGTTTGAAATTCCCACAGCTCTCCAGGTATCACAATCTCCAGGCGAGGTTGCCAATATGTATCTTGGACCTATTTCAGATAGGATTTTTAATCCCAGCACAAACCACCAGCATTACCAAACAAAAGGAGATAAAAAGAGATGAGAAACAAAAAAAAAAGATTGCTTTAAATATAATTTGGCATAATTGTTAAATTTCAGATTTTTTTTCTATTCTGATGTCAATATTTGCACACTAAACAAAAGTGATTCCAAGACCAGAAGTTATTCCTGGAATGCGTATGGCACATGTTAAACTGATTATTACTAGACAAGTTTATAATGATTGTTGACATCATAAAATACTATTCCATACATTAGGTGTGGAAAATAATTCTGTAATCCAAGGGCAAAAATAACTGGGTAGTAACACATCAGGAATCCAATATTCTTTGCAGTTCTACATGATAATGTCATTATCTTTTCAAATCCCAGGCTATGGGTTGAAATAGTAATAGAAATAAAATGCAGCAATTCTCATAAATTCAATTCTTGTCATGGAATGCATTATCTTAGAAAGGTTAAACAGTACCTAGATTCTTGCTGCTCAGTTTTAAGCAGTGATCTGAGTTTGTAGTTTAGATACCTGAAATGAACAGCTTAATCTTCCCTGTTTTATTCTAAGATTATACCTGTATCCACGAGTTGCTGCCTTGTTACCCTCTGAGAGATATCCACTACCTTATAATTGTCAGCATATCAATCAGTGATATTGCGACATTTCAACCCTCAAATTGCAAGGACTGAAATTGTCTATTACTGGACAATCTGGTGCTTACTACGTGCATTGATTGCGACTCCCCCTTAGGGTCTGTAATGTACCTGATCTGGTTTTTTTTTTCGTGTTTTCAATCAATTATCAACAATGCATTTGCTTTGCACCAACAGACGAATAAATGGCGTAACTGCATTTAAAAAAAAACATGTGTCTGCCTCCACAATCATTGTTTAGGAATCGTATTAATCGAGATGTACCGGTCCCAGTGAATATTGCAGCCTTTGCAGCCTGTGATAAGCTGTGAGTGAGTGAGTGAGTGTCTGAACGTCACTGCGGGCGGGTTGGCTCCGGACATACATGTGCAGAGCAAGTGGCAAATCAGCTTCATTCCACTCGGGGGTTGTGATTGTCTGTGTGTCTCTGTGGCAGTGTCTCTCCTCTGTAGGTGTCTCTCTGTGTGTCTGTATGGCAGTGTGTCTCTCCTCTGTAGGTGTCTCAATGTGTGTCTCTCTGTGTGTCTCTATGGCAGTGTCTCTCCTCTGTAGGTGCCTCTCTGTGTGTCTGTATGGCAGTGTCTCTCCTCTGTAGGTGCCTCTCTGTGTGTCTCTGTGGCAGTGTGTCTCTCCTCTGTAGATGTCTCTCTCTGTGTGTCTCTGTGGCAGTGTGTCTCTCCTCTGTAGGTGCCTCTCTGTGTGTCTCTGTGGCAGTGTGTCTCTCCTCTGTAGGTGCCTCTCTGTGTGTCTGTATGGCAGTGTGTCTCCTCTGTAGGTGCCTCTCTGTGTGTCTGTATGGCAGTGTGTCTCTCCTCTGTAGATGTCTCTCTCTGTGTGTCTCTGTGGCAGTGTGGCTCTCCTCTGTAGGTGCCTCTCTGTGTGTCTCTATGGCAGTGTGTCTCCTCTGTTGGTGTCTCTCTGTGTGTCTCTATGGCAGTGTGTCTCCTCTGTTGGTGTCTCTATGTGTGTGTCTCTGTGGCAGTGTGTCCTCTGTAGGTGTCTCTGTGTGTGTCTATGTCAGTGTGTCTCTTCTCTGTAGGTGTCTCTCTGTGTGTCTCTCTGTGTGTTTGCTGTGTCTTTATGCGAGTGGGTCTCTCCTCTGTATGTCTGTTTGTGAGTGTGTCTCTGTATGTGTGTGTATGTCTCTGTGTGTAAGTATGTCTGTGTGTGAATGTCTCTCTCTCTGTGTGAGTGTCCCTCTATGTGTTTGAGTATGTCTGTGTTTGAGTAAATCCGTATGTCTCTGTGATTTTGAGTGTCTCTATTTGAGTGTGTCTCTGTGTTTGTGTTTTGAGTATGTCTGTGTGTGAGTGTCTCTCTCTATGTGTTTGTGAATGTGTCTGTGTGAGTGTCTGTGAGTGTCTCTCTCTACGTGTTTTGAGTATGTCTGTGTGAGTGTCTTTCTCTCTCTCTGTTTGAGTATGTCTGTGTGTGAGTGTCTCTTTCTATGTGTTTGTATGTCTGTATGTGAGTGTCTCTATGTGTGTTTGAGTATGTCTGTATGTGAGTGTCTCTCTCTTATGTGTTTGTGAATGTGTCTGTGTGTGTGTGTATCTCTCTATCTGTGTTTGTGAGTGTCAATAATGCAGTCTCCAGCTGTTTGCCTAATAAAAAGAAATGCGTTGTTGCAGTAGACTTGATTTTTCGCAATTTCTATTTAGTAGTGAGTGGGAAACTGTCCAGTAATTGCACTTGCTGCTCACCAGCAGGCTGTGTATGACATTCATTGAAATGCTATAGGTTCGAGAGCACAGCTGTTACTTACAAAGCTTGTATTACAGTAACACTGCCCCAAAATGGCGAATTTAATAAAATGAAGAAATTAATATGAAAGAACTGGAATCGTAATGTCTTTGCTTGGCTCACTGTGAATCAGGATTTACATATAAAAAGATATCAAAATGATCATTTGGAAACCACATGGGCTGAAACCCACAATTTGCTTCAAATAGAAACACAGTGAAAAGGGGCAATACAAAAATCTAATTGTTATGCTTTGGCTAAATTGGCCCTCCGAATTAACAGGCAACATAGATATTGCGTAATGTGACTTTTAAGCCAAAGATGCTCTCTTTCAAAGCAGTTTCGAATCCTGACAAGCTACTCTTAAGAGAAATTGAGTGTAAATCAAAATCTATTAGTACTGGTATATAGAGTTTTAACACAAAATAAGGGCAATTAAATGCGTACTATGAATATTTACATCGTTTGTAACAAGTGCCATATTAAAAAAAATCTTATGCCATGGTTTTTGTTACCTCAAACCTTGAATATTTGAGGAAAGGTTGAGCAATGTAACCCAAAGACTGGCAGACTCCTTTTTATCAGTTTTCACGTCTTTTCTTTTACACAGACCTCTAAAAATACATATATGGTGAAACCTCTAATAATATTGTAAAATAGAGCTATAAAAGCACGTGAAACAAAGACTATTTATTATTTCAAAACATTTCTGAAGTATACCAAGGGGATATGACTTCATGGTGTACAGATCTTTATGCTGATTTTTTTGAAAACATACTTGTCATAAAATTACTGATATTTCTGGTGAAACTGAAACTGCTACAAAAAAAACTCAGTAGCGCTTAAAATAATATTCATTCCTACCTGCCAATGTCAGTTGAAAATTAATGCTAATCAGGAAGACTGATTTGGCAATCTAAGTAAATAACAGCAGTTATTGCTTGGCACCTGCCATGATGCTCACAGTGGGAGCTTAAACATGCCAGAACTCGACATTTATCTCCTGCATAGATCAACTTCACAGGTAGAAGGTGGGGATGGGTCAACGTGATACAGCACATAAATAAATGTTGGAAACAGGACTGTGGTTAGTTGTGTCCAGGAGTGACATGTGAAGTGCATTTTGGAGAACACTCTTTGATCCATCAGTATTGTGACCCGTTGTCGCTTATTGTTCATAAATCACATTGGGTTGATGTGTGTTAAGATTAAGGCATTCCTTACCGAAGATATATAAATGGAACTAGAGTATTAAAAAATCCTTATCCAAACAGCAATGACTGAGAGATTCCATTAGCTTTAAAGCAGTAATTATACATCCATGGACATGTTTACAACATTTTGTCTTACTTCATCAGTTAACGACATCACAACTGATCTTAACTTCTAAATCCAGTTATGGATTCACAGTAATGGATTCCATGACTGTCCATGTCACAAAACGTTGGCTTTGTCCTTGTAATTACCTGAATCTTTACAATTTGAGTAAACAAATCGGGGTCTGAATGTAATAAGCTGTCAAAAGCACTGGCATTTCAACATTAGTAAAGTTTGAAAAATGAATGAAAGATCAGGTTAGATACACTTCATCCATAGTTGGAGCCTACAATTATTTTATATTTCATACTTTTATAGTCTCCTTCAATATTCTCCCCCACACTTGAAGATTGGATTCTTACATGCACTTCCCCAGTGATAGCTATCATTGCCCATTATTTTATGATGATTGATTTCCTTTAACATTTAAAAAAGTGTTGTCATCCTTTCTAAATATTTTGAGAACAAGATCGTTTGTCTCCAGTGGAATGCAGGTGAACGGATAGCCACCTTCTGGTCAGTTTAAAGAGTTTTTGAGCTTTCAAATACCTACACAGTTACAAAAATGTTAAATACCACTCAACAAAGGTTATGTATTGGTATTTAACGATATGGATTGTTAATTGTGTACTTAAACTAATATCTTAAATATGAATGGCTATGTTGATACCAGCGCTCATGAAACATTATATAGATGCAACAGAACACTAATAAAACCACTTATCTGGTCCAGTTGCACTGGATTAGCATTAGATGGCTAGCTGAGGTAATGATATTTGTCCAAAGACTGCTTCAGGTTAACTATAGCCCTTTAGTCTGGGAACTTCTGTATACATCGCTGCTTCAGCCAAAGAACAATTTGGAGATCCAGTACCACATTGAAATCCATGCTCCATGTGAGGCCTTACATTAAGTTGTCAAGGATGTGCACGTTAAACTTCCTTGAAATTAATAAAAAATGCCCCTGCCTCCCCCCCCCCAAAAAAAAATGTCTATTATAGAGAATGGAGTCAAAATGAAAATGACACTAAGATGAGTTAAACTTCATCAAACATTTGTAATGTAAAAAAGACAACAGAACCCACTGGGAAAACGGTGGTCAGGTAGCTGATGGCAGGAGTAAAAGAAAGGTCTAGCGTCACAGCTCTTATGTAGATCTTCTCAAATGTTTGGTTTCATCTTAATGGTTTCATTATGGATTCATGAGAGGGTTTTTCTCAATAACATTCAGTGAAAATATCACTATTTTCAGATTTCCATCAGACCGACCATACATTGGTATCTGCGATGACATCCATTGCTGATAAAAAATAACTCACCAAAAGTATCTCGAAGGCCAGGTGATACTGAGCTTGAGTTTCACTCTCATGGATTACACCCTGGAAGGACTTCTTATTATATTGCATTATTGTACTGTAGTCAGGATGTAACTGTCCTTTATTATACAATACAGATTTACATAGGGCCTTTCACATCAGGAGGCCTTCCCAAACTGCTTAACAAATCTGGCTTGGCACTCGAGTTGGGGGTGGGAGCCAAGGGGTGGGATGTATTTACAATGAAATCTTGCTATTAAGAGTGGTCAATAGGATGGTGTTACTACAGGAAAACCGCACTGCTATGCAGTTGTCTTGTGTCCAATATTTCAGACAAAGTTACAAAACAAAATGGCCATTATGTTGCCAACACACACTTTGTGGTCACCCAAAGCCATGGCTCTCGCAATCTGCACCTAATACTCTCCAGAATTAGGTAAAGCGAGGTGAAAGCGCCCATTCCACTCCAGACACGGAAATTTCCAAGGATAGGTGGCAAGCTTGGAAAGCTCAGTCTGGTTTGGATACTCTTAAAACATGGTGACGGGTTTGTGCACCCATTAGACACCAGGCTGACTACACAAAAAAAGGGAAACTGGCAGGGAGGCATCTGAAGCTTCTTGTCAAAGAGCCTCACTCACCCACTGGCTTTACCGCCCACCACACAACTCCCAATCTACAGTGAGGCTCTTGCCTTTTGCTCTGCGTCGGAAGTTGCAGGGCTTTCTTTAACCCTCGGCTCTTGCCTTCCCAGGAGAAGTTGAAGAGACTTTAATATATAGAGTGTGGCTCCTTTTTTCTTTAGCCTTTGGTGGGTGGGTTGAGAAGCTGTAGG